ATATTTAAGTAATCGTATGACAAACATAAGATACTTATTCCGTTTAATAAGATAGAATGTTAGACAACTTAAAAGCTTCATTTGCGCCACGAATCTTTATTTTCTCAAATAAACAGGCATAGAATTAATTTCTTATACTTATGTATATACATCCTTTCTGTTTCAAATATTTTCAGACATTATTATTGTCGTAGTCAAACCACGATCGGTAACAAAAATTAACCGACAGAGCCCAGGGCAAGCCCCACCAAAATAAATCATTATGATTTGTCTATCTTCTTGTATATTTAGTACCTAACAAATGGGTATTAATTAATTATTTTTTAACTCCGAACTTGTACTTATTTCAAAATACTAAGTTGATACATGTGCATAAATGGGCTGTTTTAGTATGGAGCCTTATTGAGTCTGTCCTGCAATTTCTGCTAGAATAGAAACATGACATATATCTTAATATAAATATTATAACGAAATTCGTAATTAATAAATTGTATTATTACCTTAATAAAAATAATTTACGTTTACGAAAAAAAGACGTATTTTAACAAAATAAAGGTAGATAACGTAAAAATAGAGTCGGTATCTCATATTGTTTTGTTTTCGGCGAAGGTCAGTGCAACCAAGCCACTGTAACCGTTGTCTTATCATGAAATTGCATGAAATTATCCCTGATGATAACATTTACCTATCGCCAGGAAATTCAATATTATAACAGTATTTGGTAATCACTTAGTTACGTTTATCTCTAATAGATTAGTTGCCTTAAATGTGTTCATATGTTAAAAATAACCATAAGGTATTATGGTCGCAGTCGGTACCTATATAGGAACGTTCTTTACAAAAAAAAACTCATTTTAATCTCAATAGGGGCGCCATGGTGCAGACGCTACACATTTTACCCTGTAGGCTGTATGCTTTAATTTATCGCTATACTAATATTCAGAAACGAAATTGCGCATTTATAATGAATATGATATGATTAATTAAATATGCTATCCTGATAACAATTTAAATTATATATTTATGAATTATAATCAACACATTTGTAAATAATTATATTTCTAAATTACCATACCAGTTAAACACTGATTTTTAAATTTAATTAATAATTGCCATTATTTAAACAAAAAATAATTAACACATTATTCTCCAAATTTCTATGGGATAACTCAGTTATCACAATGATATCTCTATACTCTAGAACATCAATCAGATATAAAGTGGATATTGAATATTTTATCTAGAAAAATAATAAACATTGACTCACATGAATATAATATATTAATATGCTAATAGATGATATCACGTTCACAATTCGTAGCGACTCGTAGCGTGTCCGTCGCGACTGCACTGAAACTAAACTAGCACTTCGATGGGGCGCTGTGAGTACCTCGCCTCCAGTCTGCTGGAGTGTTGTCAAACCGCCAGATTGAGCGCTCTATCTGGCTATGGACGCCGCGCATGCGTGCTCTATCCCGACTCCCTGTTCCCACTTCCTAGGTACACAGCGGGAATTCTACACACTACTGACTACATAGATTCTTATATGTAATCTAGATTGATCTAATAAAACACAAGCCCTAACAAATGGAGCTATTGGATTTTTAATTTCATGACTTAGTCACTTTTGAAAATATGTATTTAGGAAAGTATTTTATATTATGTATAACTGAAGTAGGTAGTTCTTGCAAAAATATAGCAGACAATAATTACATTTAGGATTTAGAGATTAGGTTACCCTCTCTGGATATATTTATAAAATGATATAATAAATTATGATTATTATTTAAAAAAATGTACGTGGTCGTTTGTTGAATTTTGTACCTATTTTTAGTCCATTCATTAGAATGCAATGAAAGTTTGGTAAGATAGACTTGTTGTATACACATTCGCTTATACAGGTAGGTACCTATGATATACTAGTTCATGACATTCGGGAAGATTTCTGACATAGTTATTTCAAGTTACATCTACTTCCTGGGCAAGAATGGATATATCTAGCTATCAATAATTACAAGTAGCTTTTTATTTTAGAAAATTGTAATTTAGTACTTAACAATACCTACTAATAAAGTAATATACCTAATATAAATTTATCACATATCTAAAGCTTTTTATTGATTCATTATTATTGAAAACAAACCACAACCCAAACCTAGAAGACTGAAAGGGTCTCTAAACTGGTATTAGCCACTCATGGCGTCATGTTTCCGAGATGCATTTATAAATGACACCTGGTTATGGGTAAATATCTTGTCTACGTTATACGTATATGTAACATATGTATGTATAAGGTGCCTAAATAAATAATAGCCACTTCTATGACAGAGAGATATCAGTTTAATTATGCGCCGAAAATTTATAAAATCGCAAATTAGCGAAACAATACATTTGCTCTCACAGGAGAATCTAGGTATTGGTACTTTTTATTACATATTAAACTAGATTATTTACATAAAAAAATCTATACATATTTCTCAAAACCAATAGGTTTTTGGTTAATAAACAATGGCCACTACTGTTCGCAGCATTAATATGTATATTTAATGATAATAAACTACTTATTTCGTTTCATTCTCAGTTTTGAGAAACCTTCATTTAATGATTTTTATTTATTTTAAATGTAGAAGCTAAATGAAAACTATAAAACATGAGTAGAATTTTATCGCAACAAAGACTGTGAAGATACTCTTTAAAGAAAACTAGGTACTTGAACTGATTTCAACTTGAACACTATTGAGCAAATGACCCAAATTTTTGTTTCTGGCGCATACATCATTCATATTTGAAGCATCATTTGTGATACCTTCTATAGATATTTCTAATCTAATAAAATAATATTTAACGGCCGAGTTTAAAATTTTGGTTACTTTAAAATTAAATTAAACTTTATTTTATTTAGTAACAAATAAAAGTAACTTTTGCAAAAGTATTTAAATCAAAAATTCACAGTCTATTAGCTTAATGTAATCTTTGTATCAGAATAGCTTTAAACTATTTAAACAACGAGACAAACATAATAGAGAAATGGAGACCATGAATTAATGAAAAAGTATGTATGTATGTATGTATTCAGCCCTTCTTAACGTCCCACTGCTGAGCACGGGCCTCCCTTCAATATGAAGGGGATCAGGCCATAGTCCACCACGCTGGCCAAGTGCGGGTTGGCAGACTTCACATGTCTTTAGAAAACTTGCTAGGTTCTCTCAGACATGCAGGTTTCCTCACGATGTTTTCCTTAACCGCAAGGCAAGTGGTAATCATGTTGAAAATGATTCGCACATGAAAATATCAGAGGTGCGAGACCCGGGATTTGAACCCGCTTCACTCGGTTACCCATGCGAGCGCGTCACCTACCTTAGACAATGCATGGCATTTAGACAATTTCAAACGAAAGTGGCCAGTCGAGCTGAAGCGGTCAGATAATTATAAATTAATAATAATTTTACTAATAACTTTAGTTCCTTAGTAAATCGAAAATAATAAAACTGCTTTGAACAGTGGGGTTTACCTTTTAATATTATTTTATAAGTCGCAGCTAGTAAACATTTACTATGTAAAATACATTTCTTAAAGCAAATAGCACTTTTAATGCACATAGTTACTTATATATTAAGAAATAATACAATTTTAATATAAATAAATAAAAACGAATAAAATAATGACAAATGTACTTTGGTGTTCATATATTTGAAAAACTATAACCCATTCAATATCTAAGTTATAAATAAATGTCATGAATATAATATTAGCAAAAATTATGTTGAAATGATTATTCTGACAAGATGATAAGAAAAAGTTTTACTATAAAGAGGTTTAACAGTTATGTCCCATGTAGTATACATTTACTATACATTTATTACACTTGCTGTTCTTAAAGATAAATAATTTGTGTTTAATTGTAACACGTATGTAATTTATTACGTAATTCATGCAATATTTTTATTTCGAGTGTTTGATGATAAGTTGAGTAAATTAAAGAAAATATTAATACTGAAAAGTACAAAAAGTAAGAAGTATATTTTACGTACACGTGTACATTTCGTAAACATTGGCTAAATACACGATAAATAGTCAGCCTCCTTTAAAGTTGACTATCTGTGTAATTTCTTAATTACACAAGTTTTAATTTAATAAGTGTAATTAATTACACAATTTTTCCAATTATATACATAGAATGAAGATGATATATACATACATCATCTTCTAAATCCCATATAAATATTATATGTCTATGCGAAAGTTTAGCTTTGGATGGATGTTTGTTACTCAATAACACCAGAACAGCTGAACGGATCTAGATGAAATTTGGCATAAAGATAAATTATAATTTGGAATAATAGCACATAGGTTAAACTTTTTATCACGGTAAAAATGTACAGTTCCTGTGGGATAAATTTGTTTTTGTTTTAAACAGAACAACCGATCGACTATCTATTCCATACTAACAGTTAAAACGTTCCTAGCAACAAAGTATTATATAATAATTTATGATAAGAACTTGAATTATAATAACAATATGGTTGCTTATTATAAATGTATGAAAAGATCGATTTTATTTTGACTGTAATAGATATAAACGTTTTTTAATCAGTAACTTAGAATGATAAATAATTTTAAAGTAAATCTTTTCCATTAGTTTGAGTAAAATTTATTTAGAATATTATAGCTTGATCGTTTAAAAGTTTAAGAAATATTTTTTTCAAACACTGTATTTAAAAAACAACCAAAATAATATGCAAATGACAAATCATAGCAGTCCTATAATACCATATTATATTATATTATCACTCAATAAAATACATCTATCTACTTTTATATTATGTTTATGTAAAAAAATCTAAATTATTATTTGTAATGCACATTGATATTAGTTACATAATAGACATATATAAAAATTATTTTTTTACTATTCTTGATAATCTAGAATTTATCACAACATTTTCATTGTCAAAATTGATCTATATTATTGTACTATTTACATCTATATAATTGTACTATGAAGTTAAATTTAATATATCTCCTAACTTGGGCAAAACAACATCAGGAAGGGGAGGTCTTTGCTCATTTCTTATTTTCTCCAAGTCTTTTTCAGAAGTTACTCCAGTCATGACAAGAAGAGTTTGAAAACCACACCTGACACCAAATGCAATGTCAGTGTTACATCTGTAAAAGAGATTTGTTTACATTATTTAGAAACTTGAGTAGAATTTGATAAAACATTCTATTTTTTATTTATGGTGTTCAGTGATAAACGGGCAGACAGGCCACCTGATGGAAAGCGGTACCTGTCGCCCATAACACTTACGGCTCATGCACTTAGGTTTTATGTAACAAAAATGCAGTAGAATAAGGAAAATATATATAAAAAAATACCTGTCTCCAATCATCAAAGTCCTGGCTGGATCTAATCCAAATGATTCAAGAAATTTTGTTATATAGTCATTGGGTTTGCCAAGTACTAAAGCTTTTCTTTCAGAACAAGTTTCAACAGCTCGTACTAGGGTTCCTGTGCCTGGTATAATAATCGAACTGGATTTTGGAAACCTTTCATCAGTATTAGTAGCTATAAATAAGCATTCCTCATTAGCAAGATATGAAGCAGCTTTCATTAACTTAGGGTAACTTAGATGCTCATCAAAACCAACAACCACTGCTCCTACTTCAGGATCTAAGTCTTCAGTAGTCATAGATTTAAAGTCTGTTTTAACATGGTCAGGCTAGAAAATAAAAAATATTCAATTACTATAAATAAAATTACATATAAAAGCAAAAGAACTCAGTTATAAAATATATTGTGTCTAATAAAATGAACTTACGCCTACACCAGTGTGTCGAATTCCAACAGCTTTTAATTCATCACCAATACCATTTGAGCCTAATAAATATACTTTTTTTCTAAATCCGATGCCTTTTAGGTAATGTGCTACTAAGTAGGCTGTAGAAAGTATTTCTTCCTGTTAATATAATTTTGTCTTATGAATATCATAAAAATATTACATATTAAATATTAATGGTTATAGCAAACAAAGTGACAATAATTACATTTAATTACAGGTTGACCTTTTTAAATGAAACAATAATTATTTTAAAAAATCACTTGTCACATCATCATATTATTAAATATTAACAACAAGTAACAAGTCTTTTTAAAAAGTAGTAGGTACTTTTTATTTTACCTTAGGTATACATGCAATATTATCCCACACGGTCACACCTTAGCAGGTACTGGGTAGTCAATGTTATTAATATTCAAATAAGAGAATCATAAAAATAATAATTCAAAGCATTTCTTACCTGTTCCGCAATAAAGCCAAGCTGTTGAGCTTTTACAGCAAAGTCGCTACGAATTTTAGTAGAATTATTGGTAACATAAAATATTCTTTTTCCTAATTTACGGAAGTAGTTCATAGCTTCAGCAGATCCCGGAATTGCATTATTGTTAATCCACAGTACCCCTTAAAATTAAATAAACTATTTTAGATCCTTATTATGACACTGATCGAAAATAGTGAATACTATTAACATTACATACCATCACAATCACTTAAAACTGTATCAAAAGAGTTTAAAAATTCTTGGACTTGTTCTGATGTAGCTTCTTGAAGATTGAGAACTGATGACTTAAACATTTTTTTGTTGATTGATAATATCGGACTGGTTGCTTTGCTGCTACAATATATCCTACTAATATAATAAAAATTACTTTTCAGATAATTCTGTAGTCGTCGGATCATTCTCTATATTAATTTATTGAGCAATTTGTTAGTTCTTTATTTCATAATAGGTTTAAAAGCTACAAGTTACAACTTACAACGCTAAGTAGTCTAACCTACCTAATACCTCTCCAATTGATTTGAAAATCAAAATTTAAAAGGTCATACTAATGTCAATTTGAATTTTCCTTAAAATTGATATGTCAATGTCAAAAATATCATTTTTTATTATGCATTTGAAGGAGGATTATTGAGCGAAAATTATTAGTCTTAATATTTTTTAGATTAACTGTAAATATATTACGCACAAGGTTTATTGACTCAAGGTATGAATACAAACGCGTTTTTTTACCGCTAGAGATTTTAGAACCGCAACAGCATACAACGCTATATTACGTATCGGCCGCATAACTTTTGCAGATTAGTATAAGTATAACCCTAAGAACTTTATAGAAAGCCGCGTTGACACGATCAAAGTCTACTTTTACAAAGTAGTTTTGATGACTTCTTTGACACAACTTTTATCATATAAGCGAGCAAAGCGCACTTTGATATGGACGCTAATAAAAGTGGACTCGGACCGTGTTCTACTTTTCTAAAAGCCAGCTTTGACAAAGTACATTGATGACTGCTTTCTATCGTGATTGATGATCGTGTCAACGAGCAATCAAAGCCACTTGGACATCGGCGTTCAATGAGTGTGGTGGTGTCAAAGCAGATTTTGAGCTGTCAACGCGGCTTATCCGCATGGGATTTTTTGTAAGTTTACTTACCTTCAGGAAAATGAGAGAAATGGGTTTTCTTTTTGAAATCACTACAACTTTTCACGTATGACTGAAGTAAATTAAAGACATATAGTAAATTTCGAAAATTAAGGTAATAATGTCGAAAGTATTTTGGATGCTCTATTATCTCATTTTTTTCATACAATGTTTACGACTTTAGAAGCATAAAAATACAATTATTGGTGTAAACAAGTCACTCAGAAATATCGATGTATATATTTTTTTTAATTAACTCTGACTACCGAAGGCGCTAGATGTCTTCGACTAGGTTACCAGTGCGTAACCATAGGTACATATATTATGTATATACTATAGAACGTAACTAAAATTGATTACCTATATAATAATACATATAATAAAACAATAACTTAACGAAAGTACATGAAATATTTTTTTTAAGACAAAGACTAACGTATTGTGTACAGACTAAAGACCCTAAAACAATATCTATTAAAATTTTTGTCTGTATGTCATTGTATTTGTGTGTGCACTTTTCACGCAAAAAGTACTGGGCCGATTTTACCTAAATTTTGTGTGTTAAGCTTCTTACTCGGGTCAACATTTAGGATAGGTACCTAAAAGGTACCCTAAATGGATACATTATATATATGGATACATACTAACATTTAGGATAACTTTTACTACAGGAAAATCTTTAATTCCCACAGGAAAACACAATAACTGGTTCGAGTCGTCCTTAGAAATTTATATAGCTAATGCTGTGTTAGCTTAAAGATAAAGATAATTAAAAATAAAGATAGTCCCTGTTTTCCAATTACAGCACTGAAGCGCATTATGCAGCATTATACTCAATTTTTCAACTACAGCAACGCTCCGCTCAAGCGAGTATTTGAAAAGTACTGTTTTGGCCATGATGCCCGCAACGGGTAGCAGAAAATATAAGTGTTTTTTTTTTCGCGTAGTTTGTGTTTGTGCGCCAAAGTACGGCATTATGCTCTGTAATTGGAAAACAGAGAGTATATCAAACAACGTAGTACTAGAAAATTGTAGGTCTTGAAAAGGCCTATAGAGAAGTTCTAATAGTATGTATCTCTATCTCCTAAGATACCTACTTTTGTCTATAGAGATAAATAAATTTGAGTATCTGTTTGTAATGTCAAAATAATGGTTTTTTACTAAATGCATATGACATAATTAACGATACAAAGAAAAACACATTTTTATTTTTATCCGTCTGTCTGTTTATTCTGGCTAAGCTCCGAAGCGGCTGGCTTTTTTTGTACGGGACTTTCACTGACAGATAAAAGTAGGGTTGCCAACTTTTTGTATAAGAAATAAAGCATATTAGGGTTGGAGAGCTAAAATAAACAGTATAAAATTTTAAAGTTGTCGAAACTTATTTTTTTGAGCTTCTTACACAATTTAATAATTTGTTGTCATTTTTTAAATGTTCTTGTGAAGTTCTCAATATATAGCTCCATTTTTGGCTAGTAAGCATTCATATCCACTGTTCCTTAGATAATTTTTCATAAGCAACTTGGAATTGTATTAATTCTGAATATAAACTATCAATCATGAACGAATTAACAATTCGTCCATGCTGTCAATATAATAATATTGATTCTGTGCTATTTAAGACTTAATTATTTTTTCAAAATGATCAAAGGTCACCACAGTATAATGACCAATGTCTGATCAATGACAGCCTTTTATGGCTCCAGATCCAGCAATGATAAAAACAGTATTTTAAATACTTTTTTTAATTGAACAGTAAAAAATATTTTAAAGATAAATAAAGTATAATACTGTTTTTACAGTATCGTTGGTAACCCTAGTTATAAGGCGTAACTTATGCTATTTCTATTTTAGAAAACGAATTAGCGTCCCGCTAAAAAAAAACATATTGTCTAAATTTTATATTTGTAATTTACACTGCGGGACGGTATTTCGAATACATAATGCACCTTTTTTTTTATTATAACGTTGGGAAATGCATTTACGCACGAAGTGTGGGACTCACCGGTGAAGCCAGTACTACCCACTAAAACCCAACAAAACCTTCCCCCGTCTTAATGGGGCGTCGCAGGATCGCTTACGCATTCAACTACGACGCCCCGACGGCAGGTCTGCCGAAGCAGACCACAACAACCATGGGGTCGGTCCACGGTCCACTCTGCTATCAGAGAAGTACCAGGAGCAACCCGCATGGTACACCCGCCCTTCGAAGAAGACCGCCTCCCACCGCCCACCGAAGCGGGCCACCTCCCTGTGCGTTTCTTGGCTTCGCGAGTACACTACTGAGCCCCCCCCACCTCGACAAGGTGAACGCACGTTGGGGGGGATACATAATGCACCTAAACCACTTCCAACACTTTTTGAGTACCTAATTATTGTAGGTTATCTTTTATAGAAAAACTATTGAAAATCGGGGGTATTTTGATGATATTTAAGTGTTAGATGGTCGAAAGCAATGTGTTGAATACAATATCGTACTTTTTATTTTGCTTAATAATTAGACAATAAACTTATAAAAATAGCTGTCTTGTGAAAAAATATTCCTTCTAATATCTCTCGCTGCGGCTCGTACTTACATCCAATAACACTGCATCCTTTCGTAGTACATAAAGGTTAGGAATTTTGATTCGGCACAAAATACTATCGAAAGTGACAGAATTGGTGCTTTGATTGCACAGATAATACAATCTATGTAATGTCTGTATTTGATTGTCACATTTTAAATTATGTAGGGGACGGCAATAGTGATTATTTTGTCCTGTTCTATCACATCAAAGTTGTATTTAATATTTTTCTTTTCTCACGAATTTTTATATGTAGCAATATACTCTATGCTCACGAATATACAGTCTTATAAAGTAGATAATCTAAAACACTAATAGATGTGGCCCTGTGGGAAACCCTCTACCCTATCGGAGTGTGCATAACTCTTGACATAAGTTTTTAATAAAATTGAAATGTTTAAAAGGACTACTACTTTGAGTTTGATGAGTATTTATCTACTGGTATATATGTAATATGTGTTATCTATGGTCTATGTAGTATGTAGTGACCAATGTCCATCGACCATCAGTGTCCTTTCAATTGTGATTGTGATTGTGAAAATGGCTACATATAAATCATAGACATACATATAAATATAGAAATAGTAGTGGTAAATGATAATAAAAAATATTGAAAAAATAAACACTTGATTTTGTTACAAATTAGGAGAAAAATCTGCTAGATTGCCTTATCTAGAAGAAGATACCATAAAGGTATCTTTACAACCATTGTTATCATTTATTGTCAAAAAACTACAAACAATTATTAACCTACTTATAAGGGAAACCAAACCTTAGAATAATAAAATTGCATAAGTTCATTGAACTCATTGAATTATAAGAAGTTCACGGAACAGAATTCGCTTCCAAACATACATTACGATCGTACAAACCGTAATTGACAACTACTTTACACATGACAATAACTATGTATGTATATACACAATATTAAATATCTCGTATAAAGTCACCTGTGGTAATATTAGTATTTTAGGGGCTATTTTAGGAATAAAGTATTAGTAAGTACATATCATATAGGTATTTTTAATTTTAGTATCTATCCTTGCTTGGCAAGCATTTTCTCAAATTATAACTTGTTTTACAATAGACTGTGGCGAACCACTGGAGGGTTGTGTGTGTTTTTTTTTATTTTTAAATACATTAATTAGACAATTAAGTAAACGGTCAATGAATTTATAAAATCTTTACATACCTATGAGAGAGTATCTGAATGCGTGCGTGTTATAATCTATACATATAATAAAATAAAAAAAATGCTAAAAACCGAGTCAGGGGGATGTAAGAAGAGAAATAGAACAAATCCAGAAATTATTGTTTCTCTGTCTTTTTGTCTGTTTGTAGTTTGTACGGGCTAATCTCCGAAACTGTTGGACAGATTTAAATGAAATTTTGTATGGTGGTTTCTTATATCCCCGGTCAACATTTTAAATAGGTACTTTTCATTCCGGAAAATTAAAGAGTTCCCGTGGGAATAGTTAAAAAAACTATAGTAACTTATAAAGCTTAGTACACAACAATTTATGCACCTAATTTAATAAAATTTGGCATGCTGATATCTTATATTGCCGGTCAAACAAACAAAAACAAATATATCTCATGAGAAACGTACATTTTTGCGGGATAAAAAATAGGCTATGTACTATTCCAGACTATATCTAATCTGTCTCTACGCCAAATTTCAGAGAGATCCGTTCAGCCGTTCTGGCGTGACTGTGTGACAAACATCCAAACATCCATTTAAAACTTTCATATTTATAATATTAGTGAGATTTAGTTGTTTAGATAAAATACACAATACTTAACAATAAAATTACTAATTGTGACCACTGAACAATGTTCAATGTTCAGTGAACATATACTAAAAAAAACTTGCATTTACACTTCAATAATAATAAAGTACCTACTTGTTTCATATAACTTTGCTTAATGAAAATTATATTACGAAAATAAAATACCTGGCAGCCAGAAAAAAATTGTTTCGAGCCTTGCTGCGTTACCGATTAATAATGCCTACTGCTACTACGTTTTTTTTTAAATGTTGGGTAATGCATTTATGCTTACAACCTGCGTATTGGTTTGGCGTGCATATTGGTTGTTATGTAACATATGTGTGTGTAAAGACGCCAATACTTACTATCCACTAAAGTCTAAAACCCAACGGTACTTTCCCCTGTCCAAATAGGGCGTCACAGGATCGCTTGCGCGCTTTCTTTTCATTTTAATACCCTACTCAATAGATTTTTAAAGAATTTTATTCTAAACACAAATTAACGGCTGAAATTTGCCGTCTTGATGTTATATAATGCCCATAAGTATACCCTATAACACTTGCGTTATCAAGATCAATCTAATGACGAATATATCATTAAAGTCGGTTAAGCCGACATACGGTCGATTATAATACATACATACAAACCTTTCAAATACATAACAACCAGTTAGAATTATGTTTTTTAAGTTTTACAATTTTCCCAATATTTTCAATTTTTAGAACTAAAACAATCACAAACAATGGACACTATTCTGGAAACAACAAAAAACAACATCAAAGTAGTGACGTTCAATAAACCTCTGAAGAAAAATGCCATAGATGTCGAAATGTATGTTCGTGTAACAAAGATATTAAATGACTCGGCAATCGATAAGGATATTTCGATAGTTGTATTAACGGGTACAGGAGATTTTTATAGCAGTGGCAATGACTTAACAGCAATAAAACATGAGTCTAGTACGGAACTATTAAAAGTTCTCGGAAAATTCATAGAAGCTTTTATAACATTTCCAAAAGTTCTGATTGCTATTGTTAATGGACCAGCCGTCGGTATAGCAGTGACCACCTTAGCTTTTTGCGACTTCGTTTTTGCTTCTCAAAATGTGAGTTAATTTTTTAATAATTTTATCCTCTTATAGAGCGCACAGAAGAGATAGTTGAAGCCTAAAATTGTATTATAGTTTTCTGTTTATTCCCACCGCTGTGCCCGCAGGGTTCAGGCCGCGATCGGTAGCTTGATTACTTTCATTTTGTTTGGTTTCATTTTATTTTTCTGTACGCTCTATCTTATCCTTTTAGATCGATTCCTTATCTTAAATATTACATTAAAATGTAAGTATGCAGTAAAAAAATTAAAAGACATTGTACAATATAAGTAATTTTAGAAAGAAATCTTACTCTCAAAAAAATCCGAACAAGTCCGAGTCGGACTCGCTCACCGAGGGTTCTGTACAAATTTGTAGATCTGTATAATTTGATTTCCAACTTTTTTATTTTTTGGAATTTTTCCTTTATCTGTGCTGTAATACCTTGCTTTTTGCCAAATTTCGTCATTCTAGGTCAACGGGAACTACCATATAGGTTTTCGACCCAAAACTTAAAGGGTACCTCCGGTTGACCTAGAATTGTCAATTTTGGTTAAAAGCAAGGTCTTACAGCACAAGTAAAGGAAAATTTCCGGATAATAAAAAAGTTGAAAATAAATGTAAATTTTGGTACTTACAAGTTTTCGCGAAAATCTAAATTTGCCCATATCTTTTTATCGTGTTGACCCAGGATCTTGATTTTTATACACCTAATAAGGACTACAGACCTCAGTATCTGGTATAAATTTCAACTTGCTAGGTCCACCCGTTCCTGAGAAAATCGGTGGTGACACACGGACAGACAGACGGACAAGAGAGTGATCTTATAAGGGTTCCTTTTTTACCTTTTGAGGTACGGAACCCTAACAAGTAAAAAGGAATTAAGTATGAAGGAAAAATAGGATTGATTTTAAAAATGTTTGATGTTAAGATTTTTTTTTACAGGCTTTCTTTTACACTCCGTTCACGAAGTTAGGTATTGTAGCTGAAGCATGCTCTACAGTCACATTTCCCAGATTAATGGGAGAACGAAAGGTACCTTAACCTATCTAATATTGTAATTTTTTTGGATCATATCAATAAGTCATTATATTTTATAAAGATTTTCTTCATCCTTTTTATTTGAATTCAAGGCGATGGAAATGTTAACTTTAAATTACAAAATGCCTGCAAAAGAAGCCATGGAGTGTGGGTTTATTAGTAATGTTTATAAAGCAGAGGATTTAGAAGAGAAAGCATGGGAAAAAATTAGTGATATTTCCAATCTACCAATAGACTCTGTGCTAACAACGAAGAAGTTAATAAGAAGAGTGCACATGAATGACCTGTTGAAAACTAATATAATTGAATTGCGAGAATTGGAACGACTTAATAAAAAATACAGTAAACTGTAAATTTTCCGTTTTAGTGAACACTAAGTTCACATAATGCAAGAAATTGGTTTTGGGTGCTAATTTTAACCTTAAAATAATAAATGTAAAATAATACAGTAGAACCTCGAAAGGGCATGAACCACTATAACTCGAAAGAAACCGTTGTTCAAAACAAGTGGGATAAAACATTAACTTTTGCAAATCGAACATTCTTACGTATAAAACCTTAAGCTGAAATAATCGTCTTATAAGTTAAATCACTTGAAACTTTTATAAAACGATTTTTTCGCGTCTCCCTTAAAGTTCGAGTTCGATTTACCGAGATTCTATTGTTTTTTCTTATATATAAGTTATATTATATTACTCTTTATGTATTACTCTTTACCGTTATTAAAGATTTTTTTATAAACATTGATTTCTAAATTCAAACATTACTTACTCAATATAACTACAATATATTTCATTTACTTACCGACCTACCTTATAGGAAAAGAGCCTTTTTGATATGTTGCTAATTGTCATTATGTCTTTAAAAAAGCTCAAAGTACAATTAAATAAGGATATATATGGTTATAAGACTCTTAAATAAATAAAAAATATCAGCAATATGTATCTATATATACATATAATAAAAGTATAACTGATAGCTGTCTGTGGACATGGAAGATATTTGAGAATAACTATCATTGGGGGTTTTTATTTACGCAATAGAACCCAAAATAGTTTTTTGAATTTTTGTCTGTATGTCGGTTTGTCTGTGCGTTTGTGCGCGCTAATCTCAGAAACGGCTTAACCAATTTAGACGCGGTTTTCACTAATATATTGTGGTAAGCTTTACTTAGCATTAAGTATTTGTTTTATTTCAATCGGTTTATAAATAAAAAAGTTACGTCAATTTAAAGAATCACTTAAAGACGAACCAGAGCGTAGCGAGGGTGAGTCGCTAGTAGTAGATATACATATAATAGTGGCTAGTAGAAGTAGATACCAGCAAGTCGTAGAATATCATCATATAAGTGTATTGTGAAGTAAGCATTATTTTTTTAAAACAGCGTACATCAAGACATAAGAGGAAAAAGTTCTAATAAAAAGATTCCTACATACTACATATAGCAAGCAAGCAATGATAGGTAAAGATTAATAACAACAGTTACTACGTAGATAACTAAGTTGGTAACATTTTTATATTTTATTTTTAATTAAATTAAACCATCTAGATTTAACAGGAAAACTATTTGCCAGTATATCCCAAAGCGATCTCTTCAACAAATGTAATTTTCGAAGTGTTACATAATGCATTCTAGAACGTCAAGTTTGTCGTCTATATCTGATCTTTTCCGTCCAAATAACCCAAAAGGGCTAACATCAAGAGACTTAAGTACCACCCGGTTAAGTATTTTCAAGAAAGAAATACAGACTGACGCACATATCATACCTTTGAGTAAGTGATAAAATGTTAACTTTTACGAAATTTTCGTTTTAATAATAATTTTTATAAAATAATTATTTATTTAATTTAAAATAAATAGTTATTAATTTTTTATTATATAGTTTTAATAAACCGCTATAATATCAGGTACCTATGCATGAGGCATTAGATTGGTTAAAGTAGATTTTATTTTTTGTGTATATAAAAAAGAAACAATTTTTGATAGAAATTTAAAATTCTTTATGTTTAATGCCAAAACATTAACTTGTTCACTAGTATCTAATACTGTGAAGAATGCGCCATAACACTTTATAGGTACTTGGTGGCAATTTAGGTTGCTTGTACTAAAAAATATATTAATAACTAAAGTAAATAATTACTGTTCAATTCCAAATTCTTTTTGTATAGGTACATGTTTATTTACAATCTTTTCAGGAGAACTTTTTATGTCACTGAATACAGATCCTGAAAAGGGATTGTCTAATGAAAGGGCAAAGGAGCTTTTAGATTACTATGGTCCTAACACTCTCACCCCTACTACACATTTTATATGGCCTCGTTTATTATTTAAAGCTTTGTGTACAGGTATATTTTTAATGCTTCATACACCACGAGTATCACGCGTATTGGGTATTTTTAATGTCAGAAGAACTTATGAGTTGTTTTAACACTTTTTTCTCGTAAATTTCAAGGTTTCTCCATTTTAATTTGGCTTGGCGCTATAATGTGTTTAACTGCGTATTTAATTGAATTGTCTACTACACCAGATCCAAGTTATAATAACTTGTATTTAGGATGTGTGCTTATTGGCGTGGACATGATATGTGGTCTTTTCAGCTTTATTCAAAGTTATAAAAGTTCGAAGGTTTGTAGTCAATGTAAACAGCTTGTATATCGGATAATCTTTGAAATAAATATTTTCGGAAATTAAATTTAAAAAAAGTTTATAAAAAACAAAAACTTGATTAAATTTTTCGGAAACGTATAATCGGTAGTGATATGTATCATCCAAAGGTATGTATTCTAGTTTCATCGAACCCCGCTACTTTAGAAAAAAATAATATTGTATTGAGTGCGTGCCGCGTGGTCAATGTTAGCTTTCATAGAAAAATGTGCAAACACCTTAACCACTTTTTTATATGTTCTTGACGTGCCTATTTATTAAGCAGAATTATTCGAAACTAATTGCTTCTATACATATAATAAAATTGTAATTAAGTCGAATCTGTATACCTATTAAATATCATTTGGAAAATCTTATTGAAATAGATATTATTATCGTTACAGTCAGAATTTATAGTTTTTAGAATGTTTGTCTGTCTGTCTGTCTGTTACCGCATCACGACAAAACCACTGGACAGATTTTGGTGAAATTTGGTATGATTATAGCTGGTTATCCGGGTCAACATATAGGATACTTTTTACCGCGGGAAAATATCTCATTTCTGAGAAAAAATACAAAAACAGCATTGTAAGAGTATACTAATATCATGAACGAATTAACCACTGGACCAGATATATAAGCGGACGTACCTTTATCGGTCTTCTCAGTAACCAGGAGATTTTAGGCTTGGTCGTTTGTTTTGTGCGTCAGTCTCAAGCACTTATTTGTCAACAAAATATCTCCCAAAAATGACTAAATGTTCTGTTAAATGATGTAAAAACTATAACGGCGGAAGCAGCAGTATTTCTTTTCACTTGTAAATACATTATTTTATTACATTTATTATTATTTATCACACAATTTAATTAAATGTAAAATAAAACGTCATATTATCCAACTATGTTAAATATAGTCTATATTTCTATGTATTGTTGACATCTGACAACCATCATAAAATGGCTGGATTATACCATTCAGAACAAATGACAAAACTGTCGAGTGAGTCCATTTGACATCGACTAGTGCTTGACAATGTCGAAAAATATATCGATATTTGACGAAATTACTGAACGAATTGTGTTATTTGTACAGTACAATAACATAAAATACTTTTATTACAGTATCCTACAATCTGATGACAATAAATTTATAAAATATTTTCTAAATCAAATAAAAATATAAATGCAAAAATTATAATTAGTGTGTACTTAATTTTTTATTTTATTTTATACCACATTTATATACTTTGGAATATTATTCCATTGTAATAATAATAAAGATCATTTTATTTCAACACATAAATTAAACAAAATCAAACAATAATGTTTTAGCACTAAACTTCTGAGTTGGCGATTTGTAATAAAACACTTTACCACTTCCACTAATTATTTTACTTTCACGATCCAGCACTCACTTTTTCACAATTTACAATCACTTTTTCTTTTTCCTAATTTCACAAATGTTTATTAAGCAATATTAGGGACAGTGTCACATTTTTATAACTACCCGAGACAATCAATTGCCAATTAAAATAGTTCAATAACAGAATCAACAAAATCACTTTATTTAATTAAATTAGCTTAAAAATTTTTTATCTTTACAAAATAATATTTAATATATATTAATGGAATATATACCCGATATTCATTTGTTCATTAACATTATTACAGGCCAACAGAATGTTGCCATCAATGCCATCGTATTTATATAAATCAAATTAAAAAATAATTATTATTTGACACAATAATTAAAAGAAGAAGAAAAAATTAAAAGATGTAAAATATGATGACTATGCTAATCAATGTCTAAATTGTCATTCATTGGTTCATCGATATATGTATTTTATCGATTACGTCCAAGCACTAGAAATATTGTATTGTGTAATGTGTATCAGTGTTTATAATAATGTAATAAATTCTTTGTTGCGTTATGCGTCACTTGGTTGAACTAGTTTTCATACATTTGTATTTTATGTCAGGTCCAGTCTAATTCGTTCATGACTAATAAGTAAAACCTAAGAATTTGGTTTTGGTCATCTGAACGTGGGCGGAGCCGCGGGCAATGCTAGTTATTTATATTGTTGTATACTAATTAAAATTATTATAAGGAATTCTTTTTTTAAATTTACAGATAATGAAAACATTCAATAGTATGATACCAATATATGCGACTTGTTTACGAGATGGGTCTCTACGTAGAGACACACAAGTGCGAGACTTAGTGAAAGGCGATATTGTTTATGTAGAAGTTGGCGATGTTATACCGGCTGATATAAGGATTATTGATAGTAAAGGATTTAAAGTTAGAACCCAGACTATTAGTTTAATTTTCCTATATATTATTTAGGTCTTTACGAAAGTTATATTCATATTATATCATATATTTTTAATATATTGTGTCGCATTTCAATTAACTAACGTTTTAGTAAATTTAATTTAAATATCATTATAATAAGTATTATTATTTTGATACTCTAATTTAAAATTAATATTTTCGCATAGGTAGATAACTCTTCGTTAACAGGGGAATGTGTAGCGGTCTCGCGGAGTAACACTGATGGAACCGCAAATATTTTAGAATCCCCTAATGTTGCTTTCTTTTCTGCACTTTGCGTTGAAGGATGGGCTAAAGGTTCTTATGTATATTCTTAGAAAATATTTTTAGATTACACACTCGAGTCATACAAAGTATCTAATTTTACTTGAATTCGAATAATTTTAGGAGATAAGAACAGTAAAATAAAACTTCCAACATGAATTAAAGATATCTATTTGAAATGGAAATAACCTGCATAGTGTATAGGTACCTATCATTCTTTAAGTAGGTTTATGACATTTTGTGCATAGAAATTATTATTCATTAGTGACTTACCGTCGCCTCGCTCGGGTGCGTTCTTAGTGCACGTTTTAAATAGATATGAATAGTTACTGCAAATGGACCTTAGGACAAAGTCTTAATATGTATGCTATTGCAGGTTTTTCTGAAGGTCTTATTAGGATCTACAATTTTCTCGTACATTGTTTTGATATATCTCTTAAGGTTTAGCCAGCGTTAGGCAAATAAATTTCAAAGAACGACTCGGTAGAACCAGTTATTGAGTTTTCCCGTGAGAATTAAAGATTTTTCTGTGTAGTAAAAAATATCCTAAATATTGACTCGAGTAATAAGTTAACACTACAAAAATTTAGTCAAATCGGTCCAGTACTTTTTGCGTGAAAAGCGCACACACAAACAGACATACAGACAAATAAACAAAAATTTTAATAACTAATATTTGAGGTCTATATTCTGTACACAATAGTTGCAGTAGTTTTTAAAAAATATTTCATGTACAGATTTCGCTAAGTTACTGTTTTATTATATTTATAGATTATTTTTAGGTATAGTATTGTGTTGTGGAGATTTGACCGCATTAGGGCGTGTGGCGGGCTTGGCAGCGCGTATAGAGCCCGCACCTTCTCCTCTTTCACGCGAAATTCGCCGTTTCATGCGTTATATGTCAATCTGGGCTCTTTGTTTGGGTATATTCATTGCTGGTGCTGGTATTTTTCTTGGATACCCAATTATGCAAATCATCGTATTCGTTATTGGAATAGTTGTCGCTAATATACCTGAAGGTAAAAATTATGTTCTTCATATCCTGAATTATAAAAACGAAATGTAATCAATTTTAAATAAAACTATCTTTTCGGATTTTTTCGCGGATTTATTTGGATTTTTGGTTCCCGACGTTTCGAATGCTTCACAGCATTCATGGTCATGGGAGAGACTCAACGTCAAAACGTCGGAAACCAAAAATCTAAATAAATCCGCGAAAAAATCCGAAAAGATAGTTTTATTTATAATGTCAAATATTCGCGTAAAAATTTGGGTATATAGTACTGTTAAAATTCTAGGCCTGCAACCAACAGTAACTGCCTCTTTGACATTAACAGCAAAAAGTATGGTGGCAAGGAATTGTTTAGTAAAAAACTTAGAGGCAATAGAAGCCCTAGGAGCATGTACAACTATATGTTCTGACAAAACTGGTACATTAACAGAGAACAAAATGTGCGTACGACACATTTGGATATGGGATAAAACTTATGAAGTGGTAGACACGGAATTTAACAGTAAAATTTATTTATTTTCTAGTAAATAAATGTTTTAATGCATTGAATGATAATAAATTGAAAAGAATCTTCATTTTCAGCTTTACAGAACCGCAAAGGTATGCATGTGAATTTTAAAATTGAAAAAATTGACGAAATCCATTTCTTTACTTTTAACCTATTTTGTAGCACTTTATTCTTTAAAAATATGTGGAGCATTGTGCAGTAACGCATCGGTGTCCGAAAAGGGAGTTCTAAGTGGTGATGCTTCAGAAAAGGCTATATTAAATTTTTTATATAAATTTGACGATCCAGTAGCCATTAGAAAGAAATACCCTAAAGTTGCTGAAATACCATTTAATTCCGTCAACAAGTATCAAGTACGTGCTCAAATTGATGCTAGAATAAAAATGTATAAATAAGTGGATAAGATTAGATAGGTGCTTAATATGCATTTATTATTATCAACTTACTAGGTACTTACTTAATAAAAACAAGTAAGTATCGTTAACTATGAAATCTTTAAAGTAAACTCGTAAAAAAAGAATGTAGGACAAACAATTTGTCTTTATTTTAATGTCGAACGTAAATTTTAATTTTTCTAGTAGGTACACAGGGTCAGTTTAAATGCAACCTGCATTTAAATGCGAGGTCAAGGAGCTTGATAGTAGCAAAATGTAGTTACTTGGAAATGTCTGCTCAAGTTATGTTGAGTACGTCGCAATCTATATTATCAGAAATATTCCATTTATTGTGTTTCCAAACTTGTAAATATAATTTAGATGATATTTATGAAGTTTAGAATTTCATTTTATCCCGATTAAAGAAATCATTTTTGCGAAATCGGAAATTGGCCACGGATAATGAATATTTAGATATACGTAAAATTCAGTACCCACAAGAAAACGAATTGATGAATTTTAATTCCATCATCAGCACCTAATAAAAATTTTAACATAAGTAATTACTTAGATATTTGTTAGCCTCTGAAATAAATGGCAATCCATGGAGATTGTGTTACATATGTACCATTTAATTTACTACTTTTTAACAAAAACCATTACTAACCATGGTTTTGAAAATTGGTTAAAACTGAATAAAGTAAAAAATGAATTAAATAACACGTGATGTAAACGTGCACGAAAAAACGTACCATGATAAAAGAACATTAATATTAAAATTATTTGTTGTCAAAGTAAAAATATATGGCTTTAATGTATATTTCAGTATCTTATTAAGCACTTATTATGTAGTTTCTATTACTATTGTTTCTTTTGTAAATGTGGGTTTTTAGGTCAGTATTCATCTAGATGAAAACTCTTCAAAGTATCTGTTAGTAATGAAAGGCGCTCCGGAATACATACTTTCTCGATGTAGTACAGTTGCTTCGAACGAAAACAACTTAAATATGACTACTGGAATACTTGAAGCTGTTAATAAAGCTATAGAAAATTTAGCAAACACTGGTAAGGCCAAGTCATATGCCCGATTTCACCAACATCACTTAAGCTACCACCTACGTATGGGATCCCTAGCTTAAAAGGTCCCCTAAACTAGCCCCTAAATTAAATTTTGTTTACCATCGTCAGAGCCCGTATTTCTAATACCTATATTTCGGTGGAATTTTATTATTTTTTTAATTTTTAGGTGACCCCCTAACTCTGCCCTCCCGAACCTAAAGTGCAGTAACAGCAAAAACACGAATTCGAGAAAAACGCGCCTAAAGTTTAGAATCCATAAAAATATATCAAAAAGAGACTTTTCGATAAAACCTTGAATGGAAAGTGAAAGAATATGTACCAAACTAAAATACTAAACATTGTAACGTTAATTTTTTTATAAAAAACTATAATTATGGCAATTTTAATTTTTTTGCCCCTATTACTACACACACTTTATTTGTATAATCTTTTCAAAAACTGTTTTAAATGCAGTAAATCCTGTTATTACTGCATTTTAGACATTTCTTCCATGATCGTTACTAACTAAAGTGCAGTAATATTATAAAAATACTGCTATTTAATCTGTTTTTTTTAACAAAACACTGATATTCCACACTTATAGTAATATAAAATTACCTTTAATTTTGATAAAAATATGTAATTTCTTAAACAAAACTGGACATGCATTTATGACTATGCTATTAAAACTATTCATCAAAACATTGTACATTATAATCTAATAGTGTAAATTGTTTTATATGACTAACAATATAACAATCTTTACAAGATGTTGATAATCTTAACTAGTTAATCCACCATAAAACTATATCACATGTATTTCTCATGCATGGATCAATAAAATTTACATAAAATCTTTCTTCTGAACATAACTAATTACTAAATGAGTATTCTTGTCTTAGAAAAATAATAGTCTGAAAAGATTATGGAAGGGTGAACTAAGGAGAATTAACTTATATGGGAAACAGGTTGAAAAAGTGTCCAGTAGTGAGCAGCAAATTATAGCTCAGAAACTCACCGTTAAGCCTAGTTCGCATTGAGCTAGTATTTTAGTCTAGTAGCGAGTAATTTAGTAACTAAACGTGTCTGAACACTAAAAATTTAGTCGATTAGTTTAGTAAGAAATTTAGCCGAGTCAATCCATTTTATTCTATTTTTTTGGGCGAGTAGCAGCCCCCACCACGCGTCCGAGCTCACTGGTTCACCGGCTAAACAAGTACGAACCTGTCGAATTAGTCGAGTTCATTAGTTGCAGCCATAACATTCATTAACAGAAAATTTACACAACTTTCGGACATTCTCAAACTATCGAAGTATTCTTTGGGATCTTCCAATGCTAATTCCTTCAGAAGACAATTAGTAGCTCCTAGTTTATCTCGTCTTTCGATCCATTTTCTTACCCATAGCTTCTTTTTATTAATCACACAAATTTCCTCATCAACCTCTTTTAAAATAGCCGTTACGATCAGCTTAATCAGTTTATTTACTTTATTGCGTTGTAGGCTATTCATCTTGCAAAACACCACTCACTTGTAAACTGTACTCGACCAAAGTGTGAACGATTTTTGGTGAGTAGCGAGTAATTTAGCTACTAAATTACTCGCTACTAGACTAAAATACTAGGTTAATGCGAACTAGGCTTTACAGCACTAGCGTAGCAAGTAGATGTGATGTGAAGTTAGTAGTTTTTAACGGAGTGAAGTGTGCTGAATTATTATTACTTGAAAATAATATATAATTATATTGCTGTTTGCCTATGCTAGAACTATTTTGAAAAGTGCGCCACAGCAAAGCGGAGATCTTTCTTTCCTTGTTTAATTCACCTTCTTACTTTTATGACGCTATGTTTTAAACTAGCGACTCACCCTCGCCTCACTCGGGTTCGTCCCTGGATACTTTTTTTTTGAGCGGAACTCTAATTCTTTTTTTTAAATAAAAGTAGCCTATATTACTCCCTATAACATCAGTTACCTTCCACTGAAAGTCCGTCAAAATCAGTCCAGCCGTTTCAGAGATTATTCGGAACAAACAGACAGACAAAAAATTTTAAAAATGTGTTTTTCTTATGAGTACCGTTTATAATTTCATATGCATTTAGTAAAAAGGTTTATTTTGACATTACAAACAGACACTACAATTTTATTTATCTGTATAGATGTATAGATTCATATACTTGTTTTCTGTGGCGCCACCAATTTCATGCTTGTCAGCGGTCACTTTTTATACTAGAAATAGTTCGCCTTAGTTCTACTCTCCATATCTCTTTGGTACAGCATGGCACGTCAAGTCAGCCTTAAGCCACAGATTAAGGAGACTGCCTCAAACCGCGATATTGCCTGTCCTGTGTTTTAATATTTTAATAATTTTACCTATTAAAACGCAGTATTAGGGAATAGTATTTGACTTTAAGTATTTTAGGTAGTATGAATTGGATGAAGCAAACTAATATGCAGTAAAATGTATAAATATTGTAAACTAAATGGTCTTTTACAAGCAACTACAAAACATCCTACAAGTTAAACTGCAGTAAAGTTATTAAATACTGCATGTCTTATAGTTTTTCACAAGAAATTACAAAATCCCCCACAAGTTAATGTGCAGTATGGAATGTTAATACTGCACTTTAATTAGGAATATAAATAAAAAATATTTTTTCTTAACCTTTGCAGTATAATCAATTTGTATAGAGTCGAATAATACTGCATTTTAATAAGTTTTTTCTTGAATCTCCTAGAACAAACTACTATTTTAAGTGCCACAAAATATGATAAAACACTGCAGTTTAGTTAGGAAACAGAGAAAAATCTTGTGCAGTATTAATTGTAATGCGGTTTAGCTGGTAAACATGGAATATTTTAACAGATTTGTGATATTTTTGCTGTTACATCTTCCGAAAAAACATTAAAATAAAATACTTTTATTAGCGCTACAGAAAAAAGAATTAATTTGACTGATAGCTACTAAAATGGGGATTTAGAATATATATTTAACTCAAAACCGACAAAAATGTCTATTACTGCACTTTAGGCTCAGGTGGGCAGAACTGTCGGTGAAACAGAAACTATCCCCTAACAACCCCCTAACCATGCTTAGGATATCCCTTAAACTTAAGTGACGTTGGTGAAATCGGTCAATAATTAGTTATTATTTATTATGCATAGCATTATGCATAATGTAGGAGTTTGTAACATCTTAAAAATGCCGAAATTAACTACGGTTCAAATAATCATCAACGGAAAACATAATGTTATATCATCAACGGAAAAACTTTTGTAAATGTACTTTATAAGTTTTGTAAAAATTATAATTTAAATAATTAGTTTTGAAGAACATTTTCATCATAATTTTATTTTACTGTATACTTTTTAGGTGAGCGCATATTAGCATTTGCGGACTACACTTTAGATTCAAAAGAATACCCATTAAATTTTGAATTTGATACGGAAAACCTAAATTTTCCCATTGACAAACTTCGATTCCTCGGCCTTTTAGGTCTAAAAGATCCACCTCGGGAAGAGGTTAATATTTACCTTTATTACTATTTTAATAATTAACATTTACTATTTGAATTTATGGTGAAGTAGGTAGGCATTGCCGTTTGGGAAACCCATCATGGAGTTGACGGCCGGACAGGCGACTGCGAGATTCTTAATAAAACCCTCAACGGAATCTTAACGCCTGCAGTGCATGAGGCGTTGCAGGTCCCTTGTTACCATACCAAATTTCATCAAAATCTGTCCAGTGGTTTTCTCGTGATGCGGTAACAGATAGACAGACAGACAGACAAAAATTCTAAAAACTATACATTCGATCGAATCTCTGTATCGATAATAATGTCTAGGTATTTCAATAAGATTCTCCAAAAAATATTTAATGTACAGAGTCGGCTTAGTTACAATTTTATTATATGTATAGAAGAAAGAAAGTATTATACACATACACACCTGCACACTAGGTTCGCTCAGCGATACAACGTGTGCGAGAAGCAGGAGTACGTGTAATGATGGTAACTGGGGATCACCCTGCTACTGCTCGCGCGGTGGCTTTGGAAGTGGGCATTGCTACAACACCTACCTGTCACATTGTCACAGGGACTGAATTGCGAAATATGACACCTGATTTATTGTATCTAACTTTAGAAAAGCATTATGAAATTGGTTAGTGCCTACTTAAATATTACGTAATGTGAAACTAAAGCACGAAGTGGTTATTTATAAGATAACGATAAAAAAGATATATCATAATAAGTAGTTCATGTTTGTAATACTCATCATACCTATTAATAAACAGATTTAAGATCATTTTTTTTAAGTTAAAAAGGAACTAGTAACTACTATAAAAATATTAGTAGGTACTAACTACAAGCGTTGGCCATCGTTTTAACGTTCGAATGTTTCTATCGAAATATATGTCGAGTTACTAATTAGTAATTATTCAAATATATACATAAAAAGGTCAAAAATGATATTATCAAATATTTTTCAATTAAAAGTATTCGCGCGAACTTCCCCCACACAAAAACTACAAATAGTAGAGGCTTGCCAAAGACAGGGAGGCGTGGTGGCGGTCACGGGCGACGGCGTGAATGATGCACCAGCTCTCAGACGTGCGGACATTGGGATATCTATGGGAATAACTGGTTCACAAGTAAATTGTTAAATAATTTTATTTCACATATTTTAATACGATACGTAATTTTCTAGCTCCTTTTAAACAATAATTTTGTCTTTGTTTATCCAATTAAGACGACAACGATGGGAATTGCCAATCGACATTTTTTTCAAACATTTAACATTTTTTCCCGATTTAAAAAAAAAAGGAGTTATGAGAATACTTCAGGTACCTGACACTACAGGAAATTGCATAATGCATTACGTTATCTGATACAAATAATAATTTTAGAAATTAACATTTAAAATATATTGCTAAATCTATTAAACTAATTACTAATATATTCCCCAACAGGTATCAAAACAAACCGCTGATATAATATTGATGGACGACAATTTCTCCACTATAGTTGTTGGAATAGAGGAAGGACGAAAAATATTTGATAACTTGAAAAAATCCGTTTGTTACATCCTCATTTCCAATGTTCCTGAAATTATACCAGTTATAATGTTTTTCGTGTTTTCAATACCATTACCTCTAGGTACTGGACCTCTAAATAATTATAACAATCACAGAAAAATAATACAATTTAACACAATCGTAATAAAAGTTTAGCAAAAAAGTACGGACAAAATAAAAAGTATTAGAGCCGTGTGCCATTTTGCAGCACGATTGCACGATTAAAATAATAATTTAATAAAAAAAGTAAATTTTCTGAAAACACTTTTCAAATCAAAACGAAAACAAAAAACAAATTTAAAATCTATATAAAATTTTAGGAGTCATGACGATACTATGTGTAGATTTAGGTACAGATATGTGGCCAGCGGTATCTTTATCCCATGAGGTTGCAGAGCAAGACGTAATGGCCAGACCTCCTCGCTGCTCGGAATCACTCGTGTCACTGCGCATGTTGAGACTAGCGTATGGCCACCTCGGCCTAGTAGAGGTCGCAGCTGGCATGTATGCCTACTTCATAGTTATGGCAGAACATGGGTTCTATCCTCCCCAATTATTTGGTAACTAAGCGTAGTTAGAAATTTAATAGAAGTTCGTTGGTTTCATTTTTACCTATTTTTTTGTACGAGGTTATAGTATGCGGTTTAACCCACCGCCACGACTATGAACCGCGCACGCCACTATGTGAACTACGGAATAGAGGATATTGATATTTAGGACGTAGATATTGTTGGTGCTATTGATAGGTTGGACGATTTTATGTAATTAACGAAAATAAAAATATTTAAGGTATAAGGGAGCAATGGGATAACGAAGCAGTAAGTGACGTAGAAGATTCTCTAGGCCAAGAATGGACGTATGCGGAACGGAAGGAGCTCGAGCGCGCCTGTCAAGCTGCGTACTTCACGGCTATTGTCGTCACGCAGATGATGAATGGTGTCATTTGTAAAACGAGATTCAATTCCCTGTTTCATGTCGGTACGATTCTTAAAAAAACCTTAATCAAAAATTAATTAAAAATCTAATCTTTACTAAATATTTATTGTACAATAAAATGGAAAAAAGATAGATGAACAAAAAATCTAAAAACTGTTGAATTGACTTACTACATATGTGTACACTAGCACTGCCCGCAGCTCCGCCCGCGTTCAGATGACCAAAAATCAAGTTCTTAGGTTTTACATATTAGAATGCAATTTTTGTATTTTTTCTCAGAAATGAGATGAATATTTTCCCGCGATAAAAAGTATCCTATATGTTGACCCGGATATCCAGCTATCACCATACCAAATTTCATGAAAATCAGTTCAGTGGTTTTCTCGTGATGCGGTAACAGACAGACAAAAATTCTAAAAACTATAGATTCGGACTCCGTATCGATAATAATGTCTATTTCAATTAGATTTTCCAAAAAATATTTAATGTACAGATTCGACTTAGTTACAATTTTATTATATGTATAGATAATTCGTTGGCTCACTATTACAAGGTTCTATGTTACAATTTTAGTACTTATTTAGTTATTAATGCTACAAGTTTTATGTGTCATTAGCTACAGTTTTGCAAAAACAAACCACTAGATAGCGGCACTATAACTACAAAATATTCAATTTTACATAAGAATCTATGTTGTTTTTTTTACGATAACAAAATAACGAAGTTCTATGTAAAAATTACGAAACTTCATTAAAATTAACATAGAACTTTGTAATAGTGAGCCAACGAATTATATCATCCCATGTAAAATCTTTATAACGTTACAATTTTAAAAGGTGTAAAGTAAAATAAAACCACATAGTGTATTAAAAATTATAAGGTCTATAAGGTCACGTAATGAATTAGAAACATTTTCCACTCTACACACATAAATTAACTTTTAGCGCTGCTCATATAGAACTTATAACTGGGCTACTCGGTAAATAGGTAGTAGGTAATCATTTTTACTACAAAAACTTCTGTTCTGGAACAAGGAGTTTTATTTGTGTCGTAAATTGCTATTGCGACACAAATAGGACCTCTTTCTTGTGTTTGAAAAGCCTTAGATTTGAATACATCGTGTGAACATCCAATCGCAATGAATTCCAGATATCAACAACACTAGGTTAGACTTTAATTTGACATGTTACAGGTATGAAAAATAAAGTCCTGAACATGGGATTAGTATTCGAAATTATATTGGCATGTGCAGTGTGTTACGTGCCCGGCATTAACACGTTCTTCCAGACATATCCACTAAAATTAAGATGGTAATACACTTTTTTTGATGAAAAAGAAAAAAGTAAGATTAATATCAGCGTGAAAACGACACAAATATTATATTTAAAAAAAATCGGACAAATGATAATCAGACTCACTCACCAGGGTTCCGTACAAATTTGTAGAAAATCTGCTTAACTTTAATTTTCAACTTTTTTTATTTTTTGGAGTTTTTTCTTTATTTGTGCTGTACCTAAGACCATCCTTTTTGTCAAATTTCGTGATTCTAGGTCAACGGGAATTACCATATAGGTTTTCGACCCAAAACCTATAGGGTTCTTCCGGTTGACCTAGAATTGTCAATTTTGGTTAAAACGAAGTCCTTACGGCACAAGTAAAGGGAAAATTCCGTAAAATATAAAAAGTTGAAAATTAAGGTAAATTTTTATACTGACAAGGTTTCGCGAAAATCTAAATTTGCCCATATCTTTTTATCGTGTTAACCCAGGATCTTGATTTTTATACACCTAATAAGGACTACAGACCTCAGTATCTGGTATAAATTTCAACTTGCAAGGTCTACCCGTTGCTGAGAAAATCGGTGGTGACACACGGACAAACGGACAAAACGGATTAATACTCCTTCAGGTTGAAACTGCTGAAAGGGTTTGCATGAAAGTACACTGATAGACTATGATCTGATGTGATATTATTTTTAGTACTGTACTTATATGTATATATCACCTACATATTGTAAGTCGCTAGTTTACTACTAAGTAGTAGTTATAAAATAAGAAAATGTGGATTATGCTAAATATGCGCTGCCGTCCTGATTTTTGGAAAACCGAGTGAAACGGGTTAAAATCCCGGTTCTCGCACCTCTGATATTTTCATGTGCGAATCATTTTCAACATAATTAACGCATGTCTTACGGTGAAACAAAACATCGTGAAGAAACCTGCATGTCTGAGAGAACTTAGTAAGTTTTCGAAAGACATGTGAAGTCCGTCTGATGCCTCACGATATTGGGTGTGGCTGAATACAGTACAATAAGAAATACGAGAATTAAAATATTTGTGATCCAAACTATTTGAAATTCTGTTCTAGGTGGTTTTTAGGAGTACCATTCGCTCTTCTTATGTTTGGATTTGACGAGTTTAGAAAATATTGCATCCGAAAGGAAATGTTTTATGGATGGTTTAACAAACTAACTCTGTACTAAAGCAAGAATATCAGAAAGCATTTCATAGCATTCTTAAGAACATACTGTACAGTATTCTTAAAAATTAACATTTACTTAATAAAATTATTTTAATTAATTATATATATATATATATATATATATATATATATATATCTTTATATATATAATTCTTCTGTGAGTGTGTATGTCACTGAACTTCTCTCAAACGACTGGACCGATTTTGATGAAATTTTTTGTGTGTGTTCAAGGGGATCTGAGAATGGTTTAGATTCACAATTTGAATATTAATTTTCATCAAAATGGTCCAGAATGTTTTTGTGTGTTTGAAATCGAAAATACGATATTTAATACTTTTTTGTTTCAATTACAATTTTACAATTTCGAATTGTGCGCTCTTTTTTTGAGGACGCTGACTGCATATTTATACGCCTTTATACATATATAATGATTTAGGTATGTTAAAATTAAACTTTAGATAAGAGTGTGAAGAAAAATAAAAAGCGATGTTTAAAATAGGAATATATTTTATATCTGATAAATTCACATTCCATTGATAACCATTAATAAAATAGGTAAAATTAAAGAAATTTAAGTATACCAATGCTTTAAGTAATGTAAGTGAGCAAATAAATAAAAAATAATATAGGTATATAGGTATAATACCTTTTAATTATAATTATAGATATGTAAAAATCTTGTAGGCTGCAAGTGCTAAAGTGATAAGCGAACTGCGAGATGATTTTATTTTATAATTATAATCATTTAAGCTGTCAAAATTGTTAATCTATTTACGAATAAAATTGTAAAAGTTTTTTTAATAACAGTAATACTTTTATCACTAAAACGCCAACAGCCTACTGGTGTAAGGCACAGGTGAAATTAGATTATGATTTAAAAAATATATACTTGTAAACATAAATCAGCAATTTGCAAGAACGAATCTATCACATAGCACTTTACAAGCGCACCAACAAATACCCATTAGTGGTGTTGGAAATATTAAGAAACTTAGTAGGTACTAATGCGTCGACCTAGTCTCTCTCTAGTCATAAGTAATTTTCTGAGGCACAATAATTAACTTGTTTGTTAAGTAAAGGCTGTAGAAGGAAAACATAGGAGATAAATACGATCATGATTGGTCCGGCTGATAACATTCTTGGATCTCTAAAAAAATTCAAAGCAAATAGTGACGTTGAGCAAGTTATCTACTGGCAAGTCGCGGAAGTTTGTCTAATTAAATCGCTATTTAGTCTGTGTAAACTATTTATTAAGTTATAGATCAACGAAATAAGTATATAGATCAAGGTTAGAGTACTGTTAAATAAGTAGTATTGCGTACTGCTTTTGCACTTTTGCTAGTTCCGGCTGTAATTGGCTGTTTGCCAATTGGAAAATCTAACCATACCTCCTAGATCGATCTAAATTGTGAAGAAGAATAATAGAAGAAAAGAAAGAGATAACTATTGACCATAACATTCAATTCAATTTTCTTGTTAATTGTAAAATGTTGTCAAGAATATGACAGATAATGCAACGCTCGATCCACTCTATCTTACACTTCCACTTCTGTCGCTCGTCGGTTATGACTTATGACTCGTACAATAACTAACTATGCAAAGGTACTAACCACAGTGTTTTGCTTCACATCTTAAATTTGTTAAATATGTTTAACACTTTTGTTGATGCGCTTACATAATTGCTAGGTAAGTCAAACATTATCAATATCTAATATAATCTATTATAGAATAAGCAGAATAGACCAAGAGTATAGAATAATTTGTAAACAACCTATAATTTAAAAACAGTCACTAAACTATTCTAATTATAATCTTAAATTTGTTCTACAAATCAACACATCTAAAAACTTAAGTAAAACGTTTAATGACTTTTACTAAACACAGCCAAATCTACAATATATCTAAACTATAAAACCAAGATAAAAATAATTATTTTACAATTCACAAAATCTAACAATCACAATAAACTTATAAAGAAATACAACAATGTCACATCTTAAAATAATTAATTATTTCTACTTAAAAATACTATTAGAAGGAATTAATTTTATTCAGTATGCCAAAGTTTCTTGGCGTTGTAGATTTTTATTTATTATTGCCGTAAATCATTGCTCTTTTACCACAAAAAAATATTGACATAGGTAAAAAAAGGTTGTCTAACAGAAAATATTGTGTTTTTTTATTATAACATTGTAAATATATAAATTTCCATATTTTAAAAGATGTCATTAATGATGACAGATACTAACGTAATTTTTTACGCGTTTTATTTATTGACAAGATTTAATGAACGATATTACAGATGATAGAACTACCCTGTGCGAGTCACACCCCTAAATCTATCAATTCAGTGTATTAAAAATTCAATAAAAACAAAAGTTTATCCGTAAGTACTAGGTATTTTAAAAATGCTACATAAATAATATTGTAAAAAAGTTTGTAAAGTGTAGGAATCGCTTCTAAGATAAATATTAAGTAAGAAAATTTAAACGCTTATTTGTGATATAGTTGCGAATATATTTTAATGTTAAGTATTTATATTTTGTGTTTCTTTATCTGATAATTTAAAAATGTGTATTTTTCTAATACTAAATGGTACATATATTTTCTTCTATTACCAAGAGAAAGAGAAGTAGACGAACAGTTTTCGTTTTTTTTAGTAAAATGTATATAGAAAGGCATAAGAATTCTGTAATATCTAATATTTATATTTTACTGTAATACAGCTATGTAATAAATAATTTTAAGTGCTTTACTATATAGAGAATAATAATAGTTATTTATTTCTTTAAATTTTAATAAACATGCTAATATTGGGAATGCTTTGCAAAATTTCTAAAAACTTTGGCACTCTTTAAGACGTTTTTTATTACCTTCATTTGTAACTTATTATGTGATCGATTCTTGGGAGTCGATTTTAATCTACTTCTGTGTGTTGTATTGATTTGAAACTTGGCATCTGAGATCCAGATGACAATACAAATATTTGATAACATCATGTTGATTTTATAATGAAGGAATGGAAGGAACTCTTGAAGGATCGTAGTTTACTAGGTTTCCTTCGAGTTTCGAATTTGAATTGTGTTAATAAATCTATGGGACATTAACAATTTTAAAACTTGTTTTTCTTAATTTTTAAACTATAATTATATTATTACGTGTACGTAATTATATAATTATGTATAATTAAACAAGATTGCACTTCTCATTATTTAAAAAAAAACTGAAAACATCAGCTTTATCTCTTATCATTTTATAACAATCAAATCAAGAAAATAACAACATTATGGTTAAATTAGAAAACTGATTTTTAATATTAATTCAAATATTTGAATATCAATGTTATGTTACGTAATACGTTTACCGAAAATATCAGATAATATTGTTATTACAATTTTTTATGATCTCTTATCGTTTCATATAAACCATAATAAAACAATCTGACAAAAAATGTCCGACAAAACACAACAGAACGTCAATTAGTATCAATTAAATTGATTAGTTTGGACATTATTAATATGACCATAACAACAAAGCACTTTCTTAAGAATGAGATTTTTTTCCAGACTGATTGTTACAAGTGTTTATTGTCAAGGTAATACGATATATACAAATTCCTAACAGTTTTACTTTTTACGTTTATCTTAATTTTGCTATTCACTAAAGATTTCAAAGAAGGTAATAACTAAAACGGCAATATAATATTTATATCTTTCCTGTCTCCTCTATGTAAAGGGCATAACCATTAGGCATTGTACAAATAAAAACTAAATATAAATAAATAAAATCGGTCGACACCATTATTCACTGTAATTTTGAATTTGGACAAAATAAAGGTTTTAATGTAAAGATTAATAACTTCGTAGGAACTTGTTAATTGTTTTTAACATTGTGAACATATAATATTTTTCATTCCCTTCTAAAAACTCTACATTTATTAAAAATATTGTTAATAATAAATAAATAAATTTATTTGCTATTTCAAATTCGATATGAGTCTTTTTGCCATTGTATGGAATCTCACTTAAATACGAAACATAAACGAGCAGTATAAACCCACTACTATTTATCTATGTTAAAAATAGAATTAAACACGTATCTAAATAGGAAACGTCTTGTTTAAAATAAAATATGAAGTTTTCTAATATATGAATTCTTAACTATAACGCTAAGTACATTTTTTATGTAACTTTAAATAAAATTAAAATATATATGATTTGTTTTTTTTTTATTAATAAATATAAACTTAATTGTAAGCATTGGTTAAATCAAACAAAAGAGTATGCATGGATAATTAATTAAACTTCTTTTCATATGTAATAATTTAGCAGCTTTAGCTTTGGTTGTTATAAAGTACTGTTAGTTATTATAAACAGTAAATTTTATTGGGATCAGATTGAATTGAATTCGGATAAAGATAAATAAATATATATGTTGGGACATTAACACATTCCCATGGTAAGCTTGTGTTTTTAAATAACATTTAAAAACATACATATTATTATAAATAAAAATACACATGACTGGAGTACAAACATTCGTGCTCATCACACGAATGAGTGCCCCCAGCGGGACTCGAACCCGCTACCGCTGGCACAGCAAGTAAGGTCACTACAAACTGAGCCAAAAATGTCGTCAAAAGATCACTTTTTAATTTATGTAAAATATTTAATATACAAGGCCTAAATAGATCTTCCGTCCACCATAAAAGTGTACATTGATCAAAGAATCTGCATATAAATAGTTTAAGTAAGTTCTAAAAATAGGCACTAGGGAAATTAATTGTACTAAAATATACGCACACAAGTCATATTCATTCTGAAATATAAGCTTATTACTGTTAAATATTTGTTTTTTAAGCAAATAATGTATAAACTATTTAAGAACAAATGAAAAATTCTAATTAGTATCCGAATGGGAAACAATAGGTAACTAATTAGATCAACTTGCTATTATATTATAAGTGACATTTGTCAAATGTCGGGAAATGCATTTACGCATACCACCTGATCCCTTAGGTGGTGATGTGGGGCTCACCGGCTAGAAGAGCCGGTACTACCCACTAAAACCCGACATTCCCCTCCCCTCCGCCTTAATGGGACGCCGCAGGATCGCTTGCGCATAACTACTACGGAAATTTGTCAAAACTCTAGACCAGCCATACTTAACCTTTTGTTTATAAGAGCCACAAACACGTTTCAGTCATGGTGTCGAGGGCCGCAAGCAAAAATTATTTAGGTCTTAATGAAAACGTAACTCCAAGTTAACGATGTAGTTACTATTTTAACAAAGATATGTTATAATGCGATTTTTGATGCTGCCGCATGCGGCCCGCGGGCCGCAGGTTGAGTATAGCGGCTCTAGACAGTTGTATTTTTAATATGTTATTTTCTAACGCAATTTCCCTATTTAAAAACTCCAATAGAATCTCATAGTAGGGGAGCCCAAGAGGGGATTTTCTGTAGTTACTCGAGCGCGGCAGATTAACATAAAAGAGGTTACCTTGCACTCTATTGAGTACTTTCACCATAATATAAGTCTTCTATATAAAGGGGCGCGTCTAGGGAAGCCGATTAAAATATTTAAAAAATGTTTTGATAAGGTAGAAATACTTGAAACCGTCAGATTAAGGTGTGGTAGGCTAGTCACATCCTGAAAAGTGTCCAATTCAATAATCTGCCGATTTGCACAAGCCGAAGAGGCAAAAATCGACTATAAAGTTTATGATGATTTTTGCCTCTTAGGCTTGTGCACACCTTAATACCACACCTTAATACCACAATTACCTTAATACCACACCTTAATCTGACGGTTTCAAGTATTTTTACGTTATCAAAACATTTTTTAAATATTTTAATCGGCTTCCCTAGACGCGTCCCTTTATATAGAAGACTTATATTGTGGTGAAAGTACTCAATAGAGTGCAAGGTAACCTCTTTTATGTTAATCTGCCGCGCTCGAGTAACTACAGAAAATCCCCTCTTGGGCTCCCCTACTATCATCAAAAGCGACAAAAGCCACATAGAAAGCAATAAATATTTATTGGTTTCTATATGGCTTTTGATGCTTTTTTGACCATTTTTATGATTACCTAAATTAAGTTATAAGAGTTAAAATGGTTCGTTTGAAAATTTATGAGTAGTCGATTCTATTAGTATTTAGGATGGATTGATATATTTTAAGTCACAGTTCATACATATTGTAGCCCACAGATCAGTCCTTATAATACAGTATCTACTAAACAATCTCAAATATTTTAAGCACTCAGCCGCTAAACATGTATCCGCTTAAAAAGTAGTTAATATTTTCAAACAAAAAAACACAACGGAAATGTAAGAAAGTGTTTAACTCAAACCAGTACTTTTCAATGCCTACTTTAAAATAAAAAAATAAAAACTGTGTCAAATAACAATAAAAAAACATAACCTACTTTTGTCTAAGTACTTCGTAATCGTGATGTTAGATGTGCGTGTATTGCCGCGGGACTGCGCATGTCCGCTATGGAATGCCGGCTCTTCATCAACGCCTCTTCGCGGCACACGTCGTCTTGGAGGATGCAATCCATTATTTTAGCTACAATTGTCGACGGTGGAACATGAGGATTCCCTGCAATTGTTTTATTAACATTAATATAAGACTTCATTTTTAAAACATTTGCTAATGCAAAAATGGCCTATTCTTAAACAATATCTATTAATGTTTCCACTGAGAAACAATTTGAAAATATTGGTCGTTTTGAATAAAACTATCATTTTAGGGTTTTTCGCGGATTTATTTACATTTTTGGTCGAATGTATTCGAAACGTCGGGAACCAAAAATTAAAATAAATCCGCGAAAAAAATCCGAAAAGATAGTTTTTTCTATAAAAAAAGTTTAACCACACTGGGCGATCACGATCGTGATCGTGACCACGGCTTTCAGGGACTATTTACATGATATAGTAGATACTATTCAGTTCCACGCACTACGCGATTAACGTATATTGCATTGCTTTTTTTATCTTACACAGAATGCTGGGCCTAATAATGATACATATTTAAATATAATAAATAACAATGTATAGTAAATATGAATTTGGGAAATTATTGAAGTTATACTTTTTTTGGCACATTTGGAAAAAAATGTATGAGAGTAAAATTTTTACGATGCACGCGCACACCGACAGCCAAAAAGCGACATGATAAAGTGAGCTGCATTGATCATACGGGATGAAATCCTTAGCTATTTTTGTTCTGTTAAGCCAAAGAAGTATAACTTCTTACGTGCGTACATAAGTGCACACAAGCGATTTTTTTTCTTTACACTGTATTTTTTTTAAATAAATCTAAAAACACATTTCATGTTCATATACATATATTATAATATTATACTTACTGCACTGCAATTTCTGGAACATTATATGACCTATTACAAGTTGAAGGCAGCGGTTTCATAAAGCGGCATACTGGTGTACAATGCTCTGTTAGTATTTTATGACTTGTTAGTATGATTAGTATGTTAATATTGATATTACTATATAAATAAATTAGCTTAATAGCTATAGCAATAGCCCACTAATGTGGGCACATAAAAATTGAATGGTAGGTTAATATTACCCAATATATACCATATATATTATGTAATAATTAATCATAAAGTTATGTACACATATTTATTATGTTGAAATTGTTTTAAGTGCTTAAGAAATACATTATTTAAATATATAGCATGTTGTATCATTTTTACACACAAAAGATATTTTCCTCCTTCCTTGTTATTCTATAATATATTTAATGTAATATAACTAATTCTAAAGTAAATAAGGAAATTATGTTCAATAATAATTCATATCAGTATATATATGGCCTTGAGGCATATGATAAATTACATGAACAAAATAGTGCTATCATTATATGTATATTATGTACATATTATCATTACACATAAAAATATTAATAATTTATGCATTATATATAATTATCATAAATTTTACATATAACAACCAGATTAAACTAATATTTTTATAAACAAAGAATGTATAACAAAAAAATAAAAACCGACTTCAAACAAAAGCACTAAAAAGTAAAAAATAACTGATTGGTAGTTTTCATTTACTATACATACCTAATCAAATATTTTCGAAGTTGGTGTGCTTTGCTTTGTATGGGCTGGCACCGATTTCGAAAATATTTGATTAGGTATGTATTTTATAGGTAGGCTTTAATTACTTAGCCAAAGCACACCGACTTCAAATATATTTGATTAGGTATGTATAGTAAATGAAAACTACCAATCAGTTATTTTTTACTTTTTAGTGCTTTTGTTTGAAGTCGGTTTTTATTTTTTTGTTAAAAAGTTTTTATTTTTCCCTTTTTAGTGTAGACAGTAGTAGCAAAGTAAGAATTCTAACGTGTTAGGCTTGTCAATTCAAACAAAATAAGCCCAAACTCAAAGTATCTACTATTAGCCGTTGAAGAGTTCCACCTATCCACCTTCTGGCCCTACCATCAGATCAGGTCAACAATACCGAACCACTGTACTATCAACGGAAATAGAAACACTTGCAAAGTTTCAAGTCAATATGACAATTAGAAGTAGGTTAAATTCATCATTAGCTATTTTTCCACCCTTAGGGGTGGTACTTTTTTTTGAAATTTAAATGGGACCAATCTGGAAGTATACACTTTCAAACAACACAAAAATTGTCCAAATTGGTTAATAAATGACGGAGTTCTGAGGTAACAAACATAAAAAAAATAAAAAGAAAAAAAAAATACAGTCGAATTGAGAACCTCCTCCTTTTTGAAGTCGGTTGAAAATAGTACAGATTAAGGCACCACAGTGATTTTATTTGGGAGTTTCCGATATTGTAATATTTTATAATAAGAATAGAAAATAACTATAATAAACCAATTGTATTATCATTAATTTCTTAAGATTTTATGTTAGTAATTGTTAATAAACACCTCTCCTATTATTTATATGTAAAGAAAAAAAACACATACCTGTGAGGCCTCTATAGCCAAAAATCCCACAATCATGCATGCGCATTGAATGTTGTTCATCTTTTATAAATTGTTCTGTACTTATTCCTTTAAGCTAAAAATAAATAAAACTTGTGATTATAAACATTTTAAACACTAATTTGATTGCATAAAATTATAACAGAATATAACACTCACTTTTGATGGCACTAAAAATCTATCTGGAATTCTTTGTAATTTCTGTTGCTTTTCACTTGGACCAAATCCGAGAGCTAAAAGAACTGATTCTGCATCAACTTTTCTAGCTCCTAATACATTTAAAACTGAGCTCCCACTTGAACCACTTGCATCTGACTGTAATGAAAATGTTAAATAAATTATTACATAATAAAACAAATGTTCAATTTACAATTGCACAAGCATATACATATGTACTTCTATAAATTAACTACCTGCAATGAATGATCTCTGAACAAAGGGTTTTTAAACCTTGGTGTGTATCCTTCAGATTGAACTGAATGGTCCCTTTGTAGCTTCATTTTAACATTTCTAGGATGCGGAGTGCTTGTAAGTACCCCACTTTCTAGGGACTTTCTCTTCCATGCCTCTCTTTGTGCAGGAACATCTAAACTTTTGTCATCATGGACAACTTCTTGATGTATTTCATTTTCAACTACAGTATTTTCAGTTATGGACTCATCTGGTTTGTTTTCATCAGACTTTGATCCTGAGTCTCTATTCTGCTCAAGTTTTTTAATTTTATCATCAGTCATTATGTCAGTTTCATTTTGGTTTTCAGTTTCTGAGTCAGCTGGTAAAGAATCCAGCCATTGTTGAACTGGACTACTCCGTCGCATGTCGTCGAAAACTCCAGTGAGCCAACCACGGACTTTACGTTCTAATATTGATGACACAGATTCGTTAAATGTGTCTGTAGAAAATAAATAGTACACAAGTCAAATACCATATTATAATTTTATAGTATTCCTTTAAAATACCGTACATATTTACATAATCAACAATTTACGCAGCACAAAATATTAAACAAACAAGAACGTAATATAAGAAGATGATCAATAGTTGTAATTCTAACTCAGGATAATTAAATTACATTCTTAAGACAAACCTGGCGTAGAATCCATCTTCTTTACAAAATTGGGCTGCATGCAAGAGAGGAAATATGAAATGGACGTGCAAAATGCTGAATTTAAGGAATTTCCATAGGGATACATACAATAAGTATTTACAAATTATAGCTTACCTGATTAAAACTATCTCGAAAATATCAGTAATAGTCAGTTAAATGGCGCGTCATACCTTTATGAAAAACTAAATAAAAATATAATTATTCAATAAACAAAAATTAATTAATAAAGATCGGAACTCAGAAGTTAGAAACATATGACATTCTAGAATCTAGACACTAGACAGGCCAAACCAGTATATAACTATACTCTTTGGGCCAAACATTAAACGTGAATTTTAAGCATGGAAATGATTGCTACTTTTAAATCATTTTGATTTTTTTGATGATTGAAGCACTTAAACATTTCTAGCTCGTTCTCATTCAGTAAAAATTATAAGTATTTGTTGGATAAAAAACTAAAAATGTGCTCTAAATTTAAATCCGAAATCATGCAACTCGAAATAAATAAACTTGTTGAATAAAAAATCAATAAAAACATCAGTACGAAAATGTATACGGAAAATGCGAGTAACGAAATGCATTCGTGAGTAACGTTTCGGTACTCGGTACTAGATGGCGTACCCGTTACTCAGTAACGAATACATGTGAATTTGTTGACCCAAAGAAATGCCAATGTCTCTTTACAAAATTTATTTTTAACCTATGGAGCTGTACTCGTAAGGCCTATACGTACTATCAATAGTTTTTAATACAATTTATATTAGTAAGTTTTAAATAAAAAAAAAGTTATTGCGAGTGTACAGAGAGACATATGCTATTTTGGACTTTTCTGTAAATTTTTGATGTAAATTTCTGAGGACAACTTAACCAGCTATTGTATTATCCATGAAAATGAAAGATTTTTCTTTACTTAAAAGTATCCTAAATGTGACCCGAATAAAAAGCACAAATAAGTTAAAATCGGTTCAGTACTTTTTGCGTGAAATGCACTCAAAAAAATACAGAAAATCAATACAGAAAACAGATGATTTTTTTTAATAAATATTATTTTGCGGTCTATATTCTGCACACAATACATAACGGTCATTATTTTTAAAAAATATTTTTATGTACAGATAACTTAAATCGATTATCGGTTCAGCTCAATACAATACCAAAAGGAATTTGACATAGGTATCTTGTACTGGAGTTTAACTTCAGATCAAATATGTTAGTCACCATCATTCAAAATTCAAATGAAAGTTCTATGAAGTCTTTCAATCCGCGATAAGATGAGATACGGCCATATGATGACTTGATCTCTATGTACTAATAAACCTAATTAATTTATATTAAAATCAATGCGACAGTTTACATAAGATAAGGATTTCCATATTAATGTCTTAGTTTCTATTTATGGCATAAAGAATATGCTTGATTATTATTGTACGATTTAGTAATTAACATACAAATTTATGTAAAATCGATATAGATACCTAATAATTTTGGTGTACGAAAAGAATTTTCATAAAACTATCTTCCTGGTTTCCAGTTGAACCTTTCCAATATCCAGGATAATATACCATAATATGATGATTTCATCACTAAGTAGGTAGAATCTTCGCCGCCCTGAAGTTGGCGCTAGCAAGACCTTGCGCAGTATATTCGAGTGGATAATAGTTAAGGCATTTTTAAATAAAATAAAATGTTAATAGAGTAACATAATATTGTTATTTATTACTTTTTCATATACAATGATTAGTTTTATTTTGTTTTAAAAAACATAATCATAATATTAATAAAAATCAATTAATAAGATTGGGTAATTAAATACCAGGTAGGTACATTTCATCATCAAAGACGATTTAAATATCAAAGTTCTTTTCGAGGTTATTTTTCATAAATTATTATTATAACAAAAATAACAAAGACGTACTTAATCAAGAATTTTGTATTCGAGTGTGTTGTGTGCATGTAGTTCATGTACAGAGTACAGACGTGTCACGCACACTACGCTAGACGAGCTATCGGGCGCCACACTCCACAGGCGGGAAGCGCAGATGGGGAATCCGCGTTCTCTGCGCGCCTCGCCCGATACCTTAAAGTTTAGTTCTCCGCAGCGGCTCGCGCCAATTCAGAGCAGCCAAAAAGTTTGGCGAGGATTATACTATTACTACAGATTCATTTATATTAAAATCGATGCAATAATTTTTACAAATTCACAAATTAACCCTTTCAATTTCCAGAATAAAATATACCTTATATGTTGGCTGGGTACATATACTATTATTATAAAAAGCTGATAAAAATCCGTCTAGTAGTTCATTCATTAAAAGCGAGCACGCATACAGATACAGACAGCCTGACAGCCTGTTTTTTAAAAACCAATGCTGTTTTGGGGTCTAAGTCCATAATAAGGTCCAATTCAAAAAATATTTATTGACACAGGCACGATTCCCTCTACGATTTTATTATAAACTAGCGACTACGATTTTATTATAGACAAACAAAAACAAATCTATCCCACGGAAAGCCTAAATTTTTCGGGGATAAAAATTAGCCTATTTGTTATTCTGATGTATGAACTATATTATTGTAAAGTTTCAATAAAATCCAATCAGTGGTTTTTGTGTACTAAGCTGTGTAAATAACTATAGTTTTTAACTATCCCACGGGAACTATTTAGCTTACCGGGATGAAAAGTATCTAAAATATTGACCGGGAATGTAAGGTACCACCATGCAAAATTTCATTTAAATCGGTCCAACAGTTTCGGAGATTAGCCTGTACAAACAAACAAACAAATAAACAGACAGAGAAACAAAAAATATGAAAAAATCTGGATTTGTTCTATTTCTGTTCTTACATCCCCCTGACTCGGTTTTTAGCATGTACAAGCATTCGAAACTAAGGACAATAATTTAAAGTATGCACTTTGTACTGAAAAATAAAAAAAATAATTACTTTATCGTGTGAGTATTTTAAATCTTTACTTTTATAATCGTTATCTATACGAATTAATGGTAAGTTTATGAGTTGAACTTCTGTGACTTCCTAGTCGAGAATCATAATTCGTAGGTCGCCGCCAATAGTTTTGAGACATACCGTAGTATTATTACATTATGCTTACTTACCCATACTAAATAAATATAATTTATATTTTTTTATCCCCGGACGTAAAAGGAGGGGTGTCATAAGTTTGACGTCGACAGACATGTGTGTGTGTCTGTCTGTGGCATCATACCTCTCAAACGAATGGACCGATTTCGATGCGGTTTTTTTCATTTTGGCGTATGATTACTCAATTAAGTGCTTCACGCGTGCCAGTGTAATCGTTAAATGACAAATAATTTGCGCAGGGGGTTTTAAATGTTTAATTTATAATTATTATTAACATATTGTATCTTAATCTTATTTACTTTTAAGATGAATATAAATTTAATATATAAATGAAACAACATATTTTATAAATAAAGAATATTTATTTTTCTATAAACACATTATTCCTTTTTATAATCCTTTTTATTAAATCTTGGCTCACATCATATAAATCGCGGATCGTATTGGGCTTTCGTCAACGAAGTCGTGTGCGCGGATGGAGAAGAATTCAGCGGTCGAGCCGCGGGCCGACGTCGAGACGAAGCACCCAGCACGCGCGGCTCCTTAGCTAAACAATTTGTGCATCGAGGTCAGGTAAAGATTACTTTAATCTCTAAATCACATTTGGACACTAATATACATGTATAACTACGGTCAACAAGTGTCAATATTGAGCAGTACGAGGTGGGCCGCGGAAGCGCGCGGCACGCAGCCTACGTCACGCAGGCCCATACACGCACTCGCCACGGCGGACACCTGGAGTTTCTTCTCCAGGTAAAACGGCGGCGCGTCGCCACTGATCTCGTACTCGCTCTACGTGTTGAAGAACGCGTACCACATTCATACCAGCTAACTTTCGCACATCTTCTTCACTCCAGTCAGGGTCGCGTAACAGCTCTGCTAGCAAATGCGGATAGCGTGAAACATCTTCTAAACCCTCAGGCGGCGCATCAATACCGTCGTATCCTGCCCCAAGACCTACATGTTCCACGCCCGCTACTCTCCGAACGTGATTAATGTGTGCAACAACATCTTCAACTGTCGCGCGCTCTCCACAAGTAACAAGTTTCGCATAAAAATTTATCATCACTACTCCACCATTTGCAGCTATCATTCGTAAAAGTTCATCTGGTACGTTTCTCGAAGAATTGCAAATTGCTGCAGCACCTGAATGAGAAAACACTACTGGTGCTTGCGAAGTTTCTAGAGCGTCACGTGCAGTTTCTTCGCCAGCATGTGAAAGATCTACTATCATACCAAGGCGATTCATTTCACGAACCACGGCGCGTCCGAACTCTGTGAGTCCACCTGAGGTGCCAGCGGCACGCGCCCATCGAGTATCACACGTATGAGTTACCGTTAAGTACCGAGCACCTAGATGATAAAAAGCACGTAATACAGCTAATGAATCACCAAGAGCATGACCACCCTCCACTCCTATTAAGGAAGCGATTCGGCCCTCTCGATGTGCATCCAATAGTTCCGCTGCGTCAGTGACTAAAGCGAGATGTGCCCCATTCATTTCGACTATCCTTTTGATGACATCCATCTGTTCGAGGGCCAACTGCACGGCATCTTTGTCTCTGGCACCACATGGGACATACGCTGACCAAAACTGAGCACCAACCTGTCCAAGTCTGAGCCGTGGGATATCCGTGTGCGACCAGCGCGACCTCGCCCATGGCTCCAAACTTTCCAAGCCCGCACTTAAGTTAAAATCACCAATTTTGTTGTGAAGGAATTTACGAACGTTCCAAGCGAGATCATTGTGTCCATCTACGAGCGGAGAGTCACGTAACATGCGTCGAATGGTCGTTAATCGCTGTTCGGGAGTAGCACGACCACCACCACCTAGAGCAAGTGGCAGTGCAAGAGCAGCCCCCAGCGCAGCCAACACAACCAGCGCGGCTAAAGCTACGCGCCAACGTGGCCGTCGCGGCGTTGGCTTTTCGTCAGAGCTTCCGGACGCAGATGCTGATAATGAATCCGGCGCCCAGCGTCCACATCTCTCCGCAACGTCTGGTAAAGAACCCGGAAACGTCATGCCTTCGGGTACTGCTGCCTGAAAGGAGGAAAAATAAAAGTTATAATTTTCTCCAAAGTATTTTACTATTTTATACTATTATGATTTAAAATAGAATATCTTTTACTCAACATAGTTTTTGTACGAAGATATTCTAAGTGAATTATGAATAGATTCCTATTTATATAAAAAGTATATCATGTAAATAAAATTGAACCTAACCTATCACTAATAGTACCACTAATAGTAGGTAAATAATATATTTGCTGTGAATTGACTCTTGTGTATTTATACTAATAATCATAAACACAGTTCATTTTTATAGATTTATCTATATACTCGTATTTATAAATGAATAAACGTGACATAAATATACATAAATTACTTCAAACTCTTTCAAATTATATATCTCTGACTAGCATTGCCCGCTGCCCCGCCCGCGTTCAGATGACCAAAAACCAAATTCTTAGGTTTTACATATAAGTATACTCTTACATTGCAGTTTTTTTATTTTTTCTTCGAAATTAGATATTTTCCCGCGGTAAAAAGTATCCTATATATTGACCTGGATAACCAGCTATCACCATACCAAATTTCATCAAAATCCCTCCAGTGGTTTTTCTGTGATGCGGTAACAGACAGACAGACAGACAAAAATTCTAAAAACTATAGATTCGGCCTCTGTATCGATAATAATGTTTGTTTCAATAAGATTGTACAAAAAATATTCAATGTACAGATTTGGCTTAGTTACAATTTTATTATATGTATAGATTATAGTGTGTTGATACGAAACACATAGTGTTTGAGTCCGACCAGCACTTAAATTAAGCGAATATTATGAGGTTAAAAGAAGGCATGAATATAAAATAAGAGAAAGTATAATAAAACGGTTACTTTTAACATTACAATTGCATATATTGTATTTTACTCAAAATGTATTTAAAATTATTGTACTCGCTGTTCTGACTCATGTTTTCTGTTCAAATGTAAGCTCTGAAAACGGAGTGCTTAAATAACAATAGAATTAAATGACTGAATGCTATCCATGCTACAAACGTTTTCGAAAAACGTAAGCTTGTTAGATAAATACAATAAAATGCTTACATATAAAACCACAATATATACTTGTATTAAACTTTTCTATTTTTATTAAAAATACTAGCGAACTACACTCGTCTTCGCCTTACATTAAGTGCCCAACAATATAATGGCCTACGTGTCACTCCAAGCCATAGTCTATCTACTTACTAAATTTCATCCAAATCCGTCTAACCGTTGTAGAATGAAGAAGTAACAAACATACACATACTTATATAAAGACTTTCGCATTACAAATAGTAGTCCGAATCTATTGTTGGCAACGCGTTTGGCTCAGTTTGTAGTAACCTTACTTGCTGTGCTAGCGGTCGCGGTTTCGAGTCCCGCTAGGGGCATCCATTTGTGTGACGAGCACTAATGTCTGAACTCCAGTCATATGGTTTAAAGTTGTATATGTGTAACGTATCCACTATCTGGTATCCATAACACAAGCCCTGTAGCTTACCATGGAACTAGATGGTGCCGTGTGTTAATGTCCCAACATATTTATTTATCGTTTCGGCGTAATTCTTTACCCGGCTGCGGCGAGCGTAGCGTAGCCGTAGCGTTGTTTGACCTGTATGTGTTTATTTTAAATCAAACCCTATGTTGTCATACTAAATGGCGTCATTAGATTAGCCTTGATAAAACGAATGTTATAGGGTAGGTATATATAGATTAGAATAAGCAAATTTTTCTCCCAAACTTATTAAAATTTAAGATTGTAAAAGGTCATCCCAAAGATATATAGAATTTATATATTTATAATATTATGGGATAACAAATTGTTTATTATAAGACATTAAATACAAATAAACCGACTCTATCTATGTCTTTGATTTACATGTATGTCTTCGACTGCATAATACTATGTAGGAACATGATGTAGGAACATCAGCATGTTTTCATTTTTTTGGTACGCTATTTACGCAATCAGATTTTTTGTTTCGTAATTGCATATTGAGTGAGTTTTGTTAATACGACACTACTTTTTACAAGCGTAACAATTTTATTCTTACCCCTAAATAGTTTCCATAGATAGGTATTAGACTGTTGCCCAACATACACCAGATTCCTATGGAATTATTACAGTAGGTATCTTTTCAATTCGTAAGCTAAAATATATAATTAATTATATTTATTTAATATTATATTTGTGAGAAAAAGTAAAATAGGAAAGTAGTTCTTATGTTCTATTGGATATCCCCTTATTATTAGATTAGTTCAATCTTCCTTCATAAATGTACATAGCATTTACGGAGTATACAAGACGATGGAATCCCAAAATGCATCTATAAGCATCTGGAGACATGACAATAATTTGCCGCGTGTTCAATTATGCAAGGGGCACACATAATATGGGCAGAGGCTGGGACCTGAATAGCCTGTGACCCATTTACAGAGAACTGGCGCGAACGGCCCTCACTCGTCGGGATTTCATTTCAACGAAGTGGCCACTATACAAATGTTCACCCTAAATATAATAATAAAGACTACCTAGTTATTTGTTTCTTAGGTAAGAAGTATAATAATATGATATAACAATATGTAGAAGTTTGATTTTTAATAGGTACCATAATAACTAAATGCGTATTTGAATATTAAAAAAAAAAAAAAAAAAAAAAAAAAAACATTATTTATTAAACAACACAATGGTAACAAATACACACAGCCCTAACTCCTGAACTAGAAAACTGTGTTTCAGGAGCTAGTACCTTCCCATATCAGGCGTACATATTCATTGCATGAAATTACGTTATAATAAGGTAAGTTAATGTAAACAAAAAAGGAAAAAAGAAAAAAAAATATTAAAAATTAAATAAATTACTTCTAACTTACAAGACACAGAGAGAGAAAAAAAAGTGTGTATATGAGTGTGTGTGTGTGTGTGCGTGTATGTGTGCGTTTGTGTGAGTGGGTTTGGTTGTATGCTTGTGTGTGTTATGTTACTATTACAATTTGTATATATTAGCATTTATTTTATTTATTCATTTTTTTATACTAGCAGAAGGTTTTCAGTTTGTAAAATTTCTTTTATTCTATAGTTGCTTAGATTTTTCACAGTATAAAGGTCATTGAATTTATTATAGATAAATGGAGCAATAGTATCATAGTGCCTTTGGGCGAAGACACTTCTTGTTCGTGGAAGCGGACAGCGGTCATGTCTTTTATTATTTTTAGGTAAAAGTGGAACAGTAACCTTATGATATCTACGTATACACTGATATATAAATAGTTTTCTTATCGTAAGAACATTTGCTCTCTTATATAATTCAGATGTTCCGAATCGGTAAGGCAGGAAAAGAGCTACTTTCAAGAGTGATCGTTGAGCGCGTTCAAGGTTGAGAAGTTTAGTTTTGGAAGCTCCACCCCATGCACATATACAATAACTTAGAATTGATTCAGCTAAAGCCTTGTATGTCTGTATTATAATTCTAGTATCTGATAAAATCCTAATATTTTTAAAAATGAACATGAGTTTTCTTACACGCCTAGCCAATAAAGATATATGCTCTGCCCACGATAGTTTATCATCAATAACGACGCCCAAATATTTTATATTATTTATTCTTGTAAGGACTTTACAACTACAATTAAGACTTCCCATGTAAAAGCCACTATTACAAGGATATGTGTGTATGCGAATTTGAAAGTTGGTGGGATGTCCACGACTAGTTTTGCTAAAGCAAAGAAATTTCGTTTTGCTCGTATTCAGAGAAAGTAAACTATCCTCGAGCCAAGTTGTTATGGTGCATAAGCCTGTTTCAGTAAGTCTGCGAACCTCATCCCAATTTTTACCTCGAAACAAGATAGCTGTATCGTCTGCGTACATTATAATATTAGCATTCTGTAATGTTACCCGACAGAGTTCATTAATGTATATTAAAAATAAAGTAGGCCCTAATGTACTTCCCTGCGGTACTCCATATGATACACAATCAAAGTCGCTAATATAATTATCGACTCGGACTCTCTGAATTCTATTTGTAAGATAGCTTTCAAACCAATTATAAGCGTTACCCCTAATACCGATATTCTCAAGACGGGCTAGCATTATAGGAATTGACACAGTGTCGAAAGCCTTTTGTAAATCTAAGAAAACAGCTAGACACTTGTCACCTTTATCAACATTATCTTTAATGAGTGTCGCTAGTTTTAAAACAGCGTCTTCTGTAGACATTTTAGGTCGAAAACCATATTGGTTGTTACATAGCACATTAGCTTGGTCCAGGTATTGAATGAGTCTTTTATTTGTCGCTTTTTCTATTATTTTAGATACTACACTGAGCAAAGATATTGGTCTATAGTTCGTTGGCATTTTTTTGTCACCACTTTTGTAGATTGGGCAAATAACAGCAGATTTGAGTATATTAGGAAATACACCATATTCATAGGTAAGGTTGCAAATGTGGGCTAATGGTTTACACAAAGTCTCCCTAAATATTTTCAAGATTGACGAGGGGATATTGTCAATACCAGGGGATTTATTGTTTTTTAGTCCTGCGATAATCGTCATAATTTCATGTTCATCTGTAAAATAAAGAGACATTGAATTTTGTGGCGCATTATTTCTGATTGCTTTTTTTGCAAGAGAACTTTCGTCAGTTTGTAGTTTTAGTAGAATTTCATTCGCAAGGTTACTTCCAACTCTAGTGAAAAATCTATTCACTTCATTCAGTGATTCTACAGCCGAGTTTTTAATGCTAAGTAGTTCTGTAGGAGACACTTTACTTTTGTTTATATTACACATTTCCCTTATAATATTCCACGTTTCTAAGATATTATCTCTATTTTGTTCTATTTTATTATTATAGTATCTTTTTAGTGATTTTATAATTTTATTGCAAATATTACGGTAAGTTGTATATTCTTGTTTTAGTACTTCATTACTGACATCTTTTCGCAAGCGTTTATGTATTTTATCACGTTTCCTAATCGATTTAACAACACCTACAGTA